TATAATAAAATATTGTATTAAACAATATGCAGTACAGGTACAGTGATGATACGCTGTACTGCTTGTATCATAATATCATGTATACTTTTTGTACTGTTACCGTACAGTTACGCCGTACGCCGCCATCTCGTGGCAGTATAATACCAGTACGATAGTAGTATTTTGTGCGGTATCGCACGCTTGGTTATCTGGGATCAGCTGTGAGACAATGAGACGTTTCGCGCGGCGACAGTGGCGATCTCTCGTGCGGAGTGGACGAAACACGACGAAATGAAATTTGACAGCCGCATGGACGACACGAAACGTCAAAACAGAAACGACGAGAGAGATCCAAGGAACAACAAGAACATGACTTGTGAGACGAACGAGTGAGACACACGACCAGAGGTAATACGTCAAAAGAATTGGGTCGACAAGATACCTGCTCTCTGTAAAAAAAAAAACCGAGACTGGGCCGATATATTTAGGTTTATCAAAACGGCGGAGAGATGTTTATAGTCACGAAAGAGATCGACAGCGAGAACATCAGCAAATTGTGTCGCACCTGCCTACGGGAAGACGGCGACAAGATGGTATGCCTGTTCGTGGGACCGGCCGGCTCCTCGCTCGCCGCTAAATTACGATCTCTCTCCTGTCTGGAAGTAAGCGCAAACAGCATGCATTTACTTATCTCACCGTTCAAATGTAAATGTTTGGCGGAGGATTAAAGCTTGCGTGTGTCTCTCACGCGTGGGTGTTGCTCGTAGGTCTGGCAGGGAGACGGCTTGCCCGAAAAGATGTGCGACCGTTGCGTCACCAGAGCGGAGTCGGCCCTTTTGTACCGGGAGCAATGCCGCGCCGCTGACCGGGCCTTGAGGCAAGCGGCGTTGAAGGTAGAGGAATTTTTGAGGTACCCACTCATACGCGCGTCATTTGAGAAATAGCTAGATTAAGTATAATCAAGGCACAAATAACCGGTCCATGCACGTCGATTCGATATCTATAGACCGATTGAATCAATGTTTAGAAACGTCGAATCGAGGTCTATGGACCGATCATTTCTGCCTGGGTAAGTGACTTCTGGCACTGTCGCGTTTGACGCGTTTACAGTTGAATTTATCTGTCATCGCATTTGTCGTCAGTGTTCATAAATTCATCGCCCCGAGGACCAAAAATTGCAACTGTTTCCGATAAAAAAAGATTGCTATAAATTATGACGCGTCTATGAGTAGGTACCTTTACGCTTTCACTGCGACATATATATGTATGTTTATAACGCTACAATCAAGATATGTTCGAACACAGGTATCTCGATTGACGTCGTACGCCACCGTTTCCGGCTGCAAGCTTTATCAGAATCAGCAGAGTCAAGGATTCATGCCCGTGCAAAATTCTCACAAGACACTGAAATGCGTGGAATGCGGCGCGGTGTTCATGAATTACCAGGAGCTCTGCGCCCACAACCGGCTGCACTTGCCGTTTATTCAGGACAACATACCCATGCAACATATGCACATCGTGGAATCTCAGAATCCGTATCTTAATTTCGCTCATGTCGGCTCGAACTTTGCCAACGACAATATTCCAAGTACGCAATTATCTCCGTTGGTCAGACCGAATGTGATGCACACCATGTCGCTGACGAACGAGGAGAGCTCGAGTCGAGCTGCCTGTGCCTTACACTGTTCCTTGTGCAATCACACTTTTACCAATAGAAGACAGTTAATAAGTCACAATATTACGCACAGTACGGAGAGCGTCGATATGTCGTGCGACAATGAGAACATAGAGATTTGCGAGAATTCCAGCAATATCCCGCAAAACTTGAGCTACGAGAGGTCAATTCATTCCGTCGACAATCCTATCCAGAACTTGTCGTACCACAGATCCACCGTGGACGACGCCGACGGGATGCAGAATATAAACTTCCCGGAAAATATCGATCTCGACGGAGTCCAGGAGAGCAGCTCGGAACGCATGCAAAATGTCGCGATGCATCCCGAGAACGACGTGTCGACGATCGCCGAGAACTTGAGATTCATAAAATCGCCCGGGAAAGACCGGCAACTCGCGATCGAGTATCACGGGTGTCCAAGCGACGACAGTTACAAGCAGCCTCTCGACATAAAAACCACGGAGGAGGATGTACACGTTAAGAAGCATCAGTGCGAGATATGCTCGAGGCAATTTTCGCAAAAGTCCAAATTATTTGCTCATCAGCTGTCTCACTCCGGCCAGCAGCCGTTTAAATGTCCAAGCTGCGGCAAAGGTTACGCATCGAAGAGCAAGCTCAGCGCCCATATGAGATTGCACACCAAGACCAACGTACATCAGTGTAAAGTGTGCGATAAAATATTTTCATATCCGTCGTACTTGGAGGAGCATGTAAAGGTCCACAATAAGAGCGATAACACAACGCAGAGCAAAGACTACGAATGCACGACGTGTAACAAACGTTTTCGGCTTTTGAAAAATTTGAAAGCTCACGAGAGACTTCACACCGGAAGGGGCTTGGTGCAATGCGAAATTTGCGACAAGAAATTCAGTCATAATTACAATCTAAAGATGCACCTGCGAACGCACAAAACGTCGAGAGTGCACAAATGCGAGTATTGCGACAAGCGCTTCGTGCAGAAGGGCAATCTGGTCGAGCATCTGCGAATTCACACGAAAGTGAAGCCTTTCGCGTGTAAATTGTGCGGCAAGAGATTCGCGCAATCGAGTCACCTTAAAAGCCACGAAGCCTCGCACGGCACGCTGCGGCAACACCAATGCCGATTGTGCGGAAAGAGATTCAAGCTGGCCAATCATTTGAAACGGCATTTAAATTTACATACCGGTACAAAGACTTATAAGTGCAATCAGTGTAATCAAATGTTTTCGCAGTCTTTTAGTCTGACGAGACATTTAAAGAAGCACAACGAATCGCATATATAATTTATATATGATGAATTGATATATTAAGATAATTTATGTACATATAGACGTATGTATGAATGGACATTGCAATACATGTTTTATAATTGTAAAATTTTCTTTCGCACGTGATTATAATTAACTGTTTTTTTTTCTCTTATAACAACTTCTTCAAGAAATCTATGAATTTCAGAATTAAGATTTTAAACACTCTTTTTGAAGTGGAATAATATACGATAACGAAAAGTAATCTATTTCGCAAATAATATGCTTACAATCGTGGTGAAATATTAAATTTATTTGTAACTTTTGAGGACCGTAATGAGAATGTTTATTCCTTCTCGTAATTGTTCTTCCGTGATTGTTAACGGAGGCGATATTCTAATGATTTGACCATGTGCGGGTCTCGATAATAATCCAGCGTCTCTCAGCTTTAGACAGATGTCCCAACCCTCAGCGAATTCTGTAAGTAAAAAGCACATTGAATGTATCATAATAAAATTCAATATTTCTTGTTAAATAACGTTATTCGACATACGGTCCTTTTGTCTATTATATTACAATACATTTGCCGCGCACAATTATTATGAGTAAATATATGAGATAAAGTCACACTTTGCGAGATAATGATTTTAATTTTACGTGCATCAACAAGTATTTTATCTTCGTATCGCGCAATAAGTTTTCAATTTGTTGACAATTTATCAGCGATACAGCTGAATCAGTGATTTGTTCTTGACTGTTGATACCTTTGTTTATCACTAGACCGGCCAGAAGACCACGTCCACGGAATTCCGTCGCGATGTCCTTTGGCAGCTTATCCAGTTCTTCTTTCAGAATTTTTCCGAGTCTCCTCGCGTTCTCCGCTAGATTCTCCTCCTCTAGAATTTTAACCGCCTCCAAAGCGACTCTATTCCCAAGCGGACTCCCACCGAAGGTGCTCCCATGCGAGCCCGTTTCCAAACAGAGCATTATCTGGAAAGAGATGATCAGCCTGGATTAAAGATCCTTATCGTGTCACACGAGTGATTAATATCAATTTCTTTTGAGCTACGTAACGGCAGATATCTCGTTATCGCGTAAGTGAAACTTCAATTAATAATTCAAGGAATTCAGAAGAACTTTCGAATTTAATGATAATGGTTATTAAAATATTTTACATTTTATAAAGTCTTGTAAATAGTATATTATAAATAACACATATTAAATAGTACTTATTAAATTAAGGAACGCTCGGAATAGCCGTTATTGAATTATTTTAATAATTGCAATGAAACTTTTTGGGATACCTGATCATCCGCCAGGACACCAGAAACTGGATACATCCCACCGGAGAGCGCTTTTCCCAAAATAAGTATATCCGGTCTATAGCCTTCGTGATCAATTGCCAAACGCGTGCCAGTTCTGCAAAGACCAGTCTGCACTTCATCGGCGATCCACAGAACGTTGTATTTCGTGCACAATTCTCTTACACGTTTCAGATAACCATCCTAAACAGAGTAAAATAAAAGAAATGTATATTGTTGACAAAAAGATAATATTAATACTCAAGTATCAACGGGGGAAGGAAGAATACTCTGCGCGATCTTCTACAATAAGAAAACAGCGTTTATGCACAATATTATAATCTATTTTCGTATTAACTTACAGTCGGCACAACAACGCCAGCTTCTCCCTGAATGGGTTCCATCATGAACGCGCAGATATTCGGATTCTCTTGAAACTTTTGTTCCAGAGCGACCGCATCGTTATATGGCACCTTCTCGAAAAGAGGCACATAAGGACCGAAATCCGTATAGCAATTTGGATCTGTCGAAGCCGATAAGGCCGCTAATGAACGGCCCCAGAAGTTTCCCTTGGCGAACACAATGGTACCCTTACCACTCGGCACTTTTTTAACTCTATATCCCCAGCGTCTGGCCAATTTTATGGCCGTGTCACCTCCTTCGACACCTACAATATTATAAAAAAAGAATGAATAATGCTCCAACTCTTCTGTCTTTTACAATAAAGAAACTTGTACTTATCGCAAGTAATATTAAAATCTGATAATTGTCGGGATACCAAAGCTAATTGTTTTCGAAAGTAAAATTCTTTTTCAAAGCAAATTCACCTGTGTTCATAGGTAAAAATCGATCCCATCCCAGGAGTTTTGTCAGATACTCTCCCAATTCGCCGTGAGGTTCCGAGTAGAAGGCTCTTGACGTATGCGCCAGCTTTCCAGCCTGATCTCTCATTACTTTCACCAGACGCGGGTGGCAGTGGCCCTGGTTGACAGTCGAGAATCCTGCCAGGAAATCAAGGTAGCGCTTTCCATTTATGTCCCATAGATAGACTCCTTCCCCGCGAGAAAGAACAACTGGCAGCGGTTTGAAATGTATACCGCCGTACTTGTTGTCACGATCGATCACTTGCTGGGAACTCAGGAATCTTCTCTTGTCCGATTCTCTTACGATGCTGAAGAATCTCTGTCTTACAGATTGCATGGCCATATTTTTCTCCTCACTCTGCAATACAGTTGAAATGCTGCAATGTTGCTAGAATTGTATAACTGGCATTTACGAACCTTTTTTTTTTTAAACACAAGTAAGAGCGCAGGACGTCAGAAAGTAGGCATCTGATGACAATTCTAGCAATCTTGCTTTTATATATCAAAGTGAAAGAAGATATGACAAAAGATACGACGGATACGATGACTTATTTACTGAAATCGTGTTTGTACACGAGCATTGCGACAGAGGGATTTAGAATAAATACCCTACAGACGGAACCGTATCTGATAAAAAGTACTAATAAATAAAGGCGCCAGTATGCCCAAGTAAACGAGCCACGATTGTAAACAATACAATCCATCCAAGTCATTTTTATATTAATAGAATATCGATGAACAAAAGAAAATTAATTCTTTTGCACTCGACTTGTAATTAAACTCTTTCATTGCTATACTTTTCAGATTTTTAAACTTTATTAAGAATTTGACAGTGATCATACTTAATATATTTTAATAAAATTTCAAACGACAAACCAAAGTCTATTAAAATGTTTAATCTGTATAATTTTACGACGTAACACCAGTTAATCGAAATGAAATATAATGAATTATTACTTGGAAATACTGGTTGCAAGTTACACGTGTTTTTTAACACATATTATCTCCCGCGTTATTGCACTAGGATTATTATTTGCGTAGAGAATATTATCGTACAAAGCTATTAATAACCCGAAATGAACTCGTTTGCTACGTTAATTATACATTTTTGGTGAGATAATAATACGACTACATACAAAAGTGGCTTATTCGGGATTTCCTTGCGGAATAGAACATCGTCGTGAGCGATGATAATTGTATTTGTTGCAGCATTCGACTGTTTTATAAATAATATCCATAAATTTGATATACGTTAATGCACTCGTGACCGATTCAACCTCTTGCAGTATGTCATTTGATAAAATTTCGATCTATCAAGTGACGAACTTTTTTGAAAGCGTATACGCGATATGGATTAACTCTGCTTAATGAATATTGTCAAGATAAAAATCGCAATCGGATACTGCACATTTAAAAAAAATAAAATTATATATATACGTATATTGGATAACTTAGGAAAATTACATGGGCATAGAGTATCAATCATTGTTTGTGTGCGTGCATTTTTATAACATAATCGTTATTAACATTTTTGTTCGAAAAATGTAATACAGTATACACTTATACTATTGTAAAGATAAAATACATGTCCGTTACTTGTACGTGAGAATAGTTTTAGAAATTATATCCACGCACTCGCGTAACTGTTCCTCCGTGAGGACTAACGGCGGTGCCAGACGAATGATGTGTCCATGCGTCGGTTTCGCCAAGAGCCCGCGTTCCTTCATTTTCAAGCAAATATCCATGGCGTTTATCTTTTCATTAATAACAATGGCGTTCAAGAGGCCCTTCCCCCTCACCAAAGTGACTATCTCTTTCGGCAGGTTGCCAAGCTCGTTTCTCAACACGTGACCGAGCCTCTCCGCATTTTCGGCAAGTTTCTCCTCCTCCAGAACGCGAAGCGCTTCGAGAGCGATCTTGCATCCCAGTGGATTACCACCGTAAGTGGACCCGTGCTCGCCGGGCTTGATTGTGAGCATAACGGGATCGTTCGCTAATACGCCGGAAATGGGATAGAATCCTCCGGACAGGGCTTTACCGAGTATCAGGATATCCGGCGTCACGTTTTCGTAATCCACCGCGAGCCGCTTCCCCGTTCTCGCCAGGCCGGTCTGCACCTCGTCCGCGATCCACAAAACATTGTTTTTCGTGCAGAGCTCTCGAACTCCTTTCAGATATCCGTCCTTTTCCAAGAAACGAAGACAATTATTAAAAATCGAAGGTGCCTTATTTTTTTTGCGAACGTCCGCGCGCGAGAGCTTACCTTAGGAACTACAACGCCAGCTTCACCTTGGATAGGCTCCACCATGAAGGCGCAGACATTTGGATCGGCGAGAGCCCGTTCGAGCGCCGGGAGATCGTCGTAGGGTATGATCTCGAAGCCCGGCATAAACGGCCCGAAACCGCCGTAGCTGCTGGGATCGGTACTCGCGGAGACGGCGCTCATAGTTCTTCCCCAGAAGTTGCCCTCCGCAAACACTATCTTTGCTCGGTTCTGCGGTATGCCCTTGCACGAGTATCCCCATCTGCGCGCCAATTTGCATGCCGTCTCACCACCTTCCACACCCGTGTTCATCGGCAACCATTTGTCATAGCTGAAGGGATGGATATTTTTTTAAATATGAATGAATTCGATATGCAGCATCTACGAAATTGTTTTGCCGCTTGAAAATATGTGATTCAATTACGATACAAGCAAAATATTAAACGAATTGTTATCTTCATTGGCTAGAATTACAGTTATTAGATTGTAATTGTAACCGAATTTAAAGATTAAAATATTATTTTAATCCAGATCTTTGTTTAAGATCCAATTTTTCTGATATCATATTCTAATTCGTATAACTTCTGGTATATTAAATAACTAGATTTCCGAAATAATATTACACCGTATATATACATTTATCATTTACTTTCGTAATGATCTCTTATACTTTAGATCTCGTTGCGTCAATATCAATATCTTATCGATATGAACCTGCGACTTAAAAATAACACTTTGTACCTGAAAAGTTTCGTGATATATTCCTCGAATTCACCCAAAACATCAGAATAAAATGCTCTGGATGTTAGAGTTAAAGTCTTCGCTTGGTCGATCATCGCTTTGTAGATTCTGGGATGACAGTGGCCTTGATTAACTGCCGAATATGCGCTTAGAAAATCAAAGTATCGTTTTCCCTCGACGTCCCACATAAAGACACCCTGAGCTTTGCACACAGCCACGGGGAGTGGATGATAATTATGAGCACCATATTTAGATTCACGATCGAACACTTGTTGAGATGTAAGTGTTCTATAGCACTGTGGAATGCGCTAAAAAAGAAAAAAGATGTCAATTAATCCTGACTGTATTTAAAGTGCTGACAAATAATCTCTTTCAAATATTTTAATAATAAAAAGTTGAATAGATGAATAGAGTATTTCCAATTTATGTACATATTACATGTAATTGTAAAATTATGATCAAACCATAAAGTTAGCATTAGTTAATTATATTAGATCGAACGGACGAAGATTCGTTCCGTTTTTTTTTGTTCATAATGCTTAATCTCTTAACAAAAAAAATAGAACGAATTTTCCATTCAACACAATATTACCTGAGAACGAGACGACAATAACGTTCTTGCCGATCTTTTGATTAGCAACATCCTCTTTAATGATTCCATCGTATAAATTGTTACTTTCTTATTAAGACGGCGGTAAACTGATACTACGGCCGAGAAACTTGATATTAGAATTCTTCGAAGCGTGAACTAAGTGGCCTACTGCAAATTGAAACACAGCCTTCGCGACAGCTGTTAGTTTTCCAATTATAATAAAGTGAAAGTTTGTTGGAGCACAGCTGTCACATTCATCTGAAATATTAATTTCATTATTTGCTCGAGATTCGCGTACAAAAGTGTGTATTGCTTTATCAGTGGTCAATGATAATTTTTATCAAATTTTAAAAATTAAGAATTAATTTTAAAATTAATTCATGCACAATATAATCGTGTCATATAAATTAACAATTATATAAATATTACATGCAATTTAAAATCAAATATCTTTAGATTTTAATACATTAAATTAATTATTTATTCACTTTTCCATAGTCTGTTAATTCGTTAAGGGCGACACTAATACAAAAAATTTTAATTAAATTACATTTGTTTTTATTTTTGAAAAAATTTCCAGTTTACATGTAAATTGTTAAAATGAGTAATAATGTATTGATTGAAAATTTTATATTAAAAGCTTAAAAAAAACGTTATTTGTCACTAAAATTATTTTTTATTCGCAATAAAATTTTCCTTCTCGAATTATAATAAAAGTTTTTCTTATAATAAGTTTATAAAGAAATTTTCTTTTAAAATATTATAAAGAAAATTCTTTATAATATTTATAATAAAATTGTACATTAATAAAATGTATAAATTCTGTTATATTCTTACATAGGCTGCAACTCCGTCAGCATATTCTCAGTACTTAGAGTTAATCGAACGACTAGTCAGACTGGCGAACGATTGGATTCTGTCTAGTTCATGTGTTATTTATCTCAATCGTACAACGAGTCGAAGGATACCGTCACTACATGCCTCTTACGCTACACACATACACACAACACAATTCTTATTGCTTGCCCCCCCAATCCGGCTGTCCTTGTCGCACGTATTATCGCTGATAATAACAGTAATAACACTCTCATATCTACGTGTACAAACGGCTAAATAGAAGCATACGGAAGACTTTATGAATTTACATAGGCAAAATAAGGATAAATAATTTTTGTAATTTAAAAATGACTTTTTGAATATAAATATCAATGATTTTTTTCAAAACAGTTGTATTTTTTGATGGAATTACAAACGAAATTATCATTATTATAAACAAAATACCTTTTTCATTCGAAACTTAATTTATTATAGATTCAAGCCAACTTCACAGGATGTAATGTCCATATATTAAAGTTATAAGTGATGATAGAAATTAGCTCCCTTTTTGTATGCATTTGAACATGAGAGTTTTTTAAAAAACTAGGGTCAAATTTAATATAAATAGTACCTTCGTCGCACAATACACGTGGAATACAATTTTTATAATATGTGGTTTAAAACACACTTTAACTGTGCTTTGTGAAATACATGTCAACCTGTTGAGTTGTTCCACTTTGTTGCATTGATTCAATTGCTTTATTGACTATCACCTCTGACGTTTCTTCTGTTATCTAGAACAAACATTGTAAAATCTGAAGATATGTCCACTGCATCATAGCATCATATTTTAACTAGTAGTCTTACATTATTAATAGTATCTAATACTTGATCTATATTTTCACATCTCAATAATAATCGCCTCAAAGTGGTTAACGTAACGACGGCAACGAATACTAAAATTCGGTATGCACCAACCGTTATTTTATCCCATATTCTGCAACAAATAAACAAGTATATTTTAATAATCCTGCAAGGATATATTTTTGCCAGTATCCAAGCTGATTAATACAATTACAATTGTATCTTTTATGACATAAGCATACGTACTTAGCAATAGATCCATTGCATATCACGCCAGCGAAACACGAATAAAACCACGAGTTGTATGGAAGATTATGAAGTGCATCGATTTTAACAAGATGCTTGTATAATTCCACGTCCTCCTTTTCCAACAGGGTATACGTACATTCCTGCAATTTTCCCACTTCTTTCTGCAGCTTCTCAACGTGCGCAAAAAGCCCGGACGATATCCAATACATATCCACCAGTTTCTCTTCTTTTAATTCAACATCGAGCACATGCCACATTGTCTCGGCCATTGTGCTCATAGCTCTGGAATAGATAAATTCTGTTGCAGTATAATTTACTTTTGGCCATCGTACAAAATATATGTCTATGAATTTGTAGAGCCGAGGCATCCTTCAATATTTACAGAGAAAAGAAATTGGTCTCATTGAGACAAATTCTGGATTTCAATTAGAAATTACAATAAAAATATTCGATTTAAAAATTTGAAATAATATTAAATAATATAGTAAACCTGTATAATGGTGATTCCAACTGAGCAGCCATATCAACTTTCACTCTTCTTTTGCGTAACAGCCACATTGCTAGGAATATTAGATGCTGCTTTGTACAAATGTCTATGATCTTCGTGACTCTCAGCGCTTCCTTCAAGTCCTGAAATTCTGCCTTACGCTGGGCCATCACGAACTCCTGGCTCTCCGGGTAAACTGGTACAACGTCGAGCAAGACTTTCCATAGGAAGTTTCTATACATAGCAGGTACGGTGAATCTTAAGCAAAACTGCTTTAGCTTCGTCTTGTCGAGCGGACGCTCCTTCAACAGTATCTCCAGAGACTTCTTTTCCTCCACGCTGCGAAAACCAACCTGCCATTTAAAAGCAATGATATTCATAAATTACGCGGCGATCTGACGGGAAACATGTAAGCAGTAAATAATTTTTTGCTACGATTACGAAGGGGACAAGTGGATTTTGGGGTCATAACCTTTTCGTAATACTGCGAACGAAAATTCCGCTCGTCCGTCATCTTTCTAATCTCTCGTCGAGATTGACGCAGGTAGAAGAGAAAATTAAAGTTGAACACAATTAGTTTTATCAGCTGACAAACAATTTTACTGCAACATCTGTATTTATGTCTCTGCGCTTGTCACGTAACGCCGACACAACTGCTGTTGCCGTTTCAAAACGGCGTCATATGTTCGTATAACCTAGTATAACCTCACTCTGCCGCACACATTGCCGCATGCTCGCGTAAGTTTTGATTAGTTTTCGCGAAAAAAAGTTTGAATATTTACGTCATGTTGAGTGCATTTCGAGAGAAGAGATCGAGAAGATTTTGGCGCTTTTTTTTCTTACGACAGCCCATGTATAATAATTACTCGTTGGCATCGCCGACACGCCCGCGTGTCCCTGCATCACAATTACTTAATCTATATACATCTGTAGTTCTATAGACAATAGACAATAGACTCCAATAAGTATCGCAATTTACCTTGCTTTATTACCCTATTTTTGCGCAGCAGCCGAGTAACAAGCTGTTTTTTTCTTCTTACAACAGTTTCGTTTATTGACTCTTTTGTGTTAAGCAATTGGCTGCAAAAAGTAAATAGAGTAAGCAGAGTGGATATTAAATAATTATAAAAATATTTTTCCTGTGTGACGGAATGTAGTGACGCGTATAATCTGTGATTGTACGTGTCATTACATTCCACGCAGGAAAAATACTTTTACAATTATTTAGTATCCACTCTGCTTACTCTATTTACTTTTCACAGCTAATATAGATGTAAATATTGACGTTGCAGTAAACGTGTTTGTCAGCTGATTGTCTTTTTCAGTTAACACAATTATGTCCCAGGACGAGAAGGATCTGGATGTAAATAGAGCCTTTGAGGATTTATTGTTCGCGGAAGAAATCGCAGCAGAAGACGGCTACGAGAAGGGTTATAAGAGCGGCAGGGAAGGGCTGTTAAAGGGATACCACCTCGGTTACCACAGAGCCAGCGTGATCGCCGCGCAATTAGGATATTACAGCGGAGTATTGGAGCACTATTTACAGAGTAATGACGCTAAATGCGAGAAAGCGGTGACCATAGCCAAGAAGCTGCTGACGGATATTCGTAGCACCCTTCCGGACCACCAGGATGACAATCTGGACATTCTGCAAGCTATGGAGGATATCAAGTTCAAATATGCCAAATTCTGTTCGCTAGCGAAAATCAGTCCGCTGTATCCGGAGACAGATAGACTTGAATTTTAAGCGCGCGACGATGGCGGGGTATAATCAGCACTTTGAGAAAGCGTTGGATTTCATCGATGTCTATCGGGAGTTGATAGACTGTCATTTAGTTGACTTTATTACTGAAGGATTATGGGACAAGTGCTTGCCGGAGAAACTTAGATCGGAGCTCGAGAATATTGATACGAGCGACGATATCTGGGCGGAGGACAATACCGATTCAGAATTGAGTAATTTCGTACAGTTAACGAGATCGCTTTCTTTAGAATCATGCCCAGCTGTTGCGCGCGTGGACGATTTGCCAAAGCTGTTACCGCAGTCTTCCAAGGAACGTTTGCTCGAAAACGAACTCGTCTGTCCGAAGTCTGAGCTTATGAATACAAAGAAGTCACACGAAATCGAGGTGCTTGGGAAAGTTATTGCCGAAATAGCACTTTGCACTCGCAGTTTAGTGATAGACGCCGGAGCCGGGAAAGCGTATTTGTCGACATATCTGTCAGAACATTTTAATATCCCTGTATTGGCAATTGATTCGTCACAAGTTTGTCACAAGGGTGCGATAAATCGTCAGGAAAAGATTCAAAAAAGGAAACGATCGCTAACGAAGGTTTATAAAAAAACATGTATTCAATTGTATAATTATTATGATTGTAACGTTATAAAATACTCTCATGTTTTTGTCTTATCTCTTTTAGGTGCGATATATAGTTCAAGAGTTAGACGACACGACCAATTATAACAAAGTGGTGAATACGTGTTATCCCGATTGGAGCGTAAACAGAAATCTCATTTTGACAGGATTGCACACATGCGGAATGCTTGTGCATTCTGCAATCAAAGCCTTCTTACGTGCGACGGACATTAATTTGCTTCTTGTGGTCCCATGCTGTTATCATTTAGCGGATGAAACGTTGAGCGGACGTTGGAATTTCACTAAAAATGCCAGAATGTTGGCTCAACAGTCTATCGAAAGAAGTAGACGTAATAAGAATCTTTCTCCTTCGTTATTTTACAGAGCCGTACTGCAAGTTATCCTACATTCAATGGGTCAGTACAGATGATATAAACATAAATATGTTTAAATATTGATACATTTTCGATCATTGAATGAGATATTATGCCTCAATTTAATAACGCGATGTTACATTTTCAACGTTAACACAAAACTACGTTTTAAGATCGAATATAGTAATCAGCTTTGTATAAGTAAATATATGTATAACGTACAAATGATTAGGCATATATAAGATTCCACTCGATGACCAAAAATTTTAATATTTATTTATTCTCTATCATACATGTCTATTTATTTAATATTGTTAATAGGATATTACAACGCTAAAGTAGGTCGTGGTGGACCGTTGAATAATTTCGCGGATTACGCAAAGTGTGCACTATCCAAAATCGGAGTGGATAAGAAGCAGGTACGTGTTAAATCTGTATTTGACTTATCTCTTCATTTGTTTTGATGTAACGGAAATTTTACAAAATGTACGATTTTAGATACCATCCGCTTACGTGTTGCAACAAATATATCAAGATCACATGCATTTCGAGCCAAAGTTGCGTCTCTTTCAAATGTTGAGAATATATATGAGCTCAGTAGTGGAAGCGGCAATCATGTTGGATAGAGTAATATTTCTACAAAATAATATCCAGTGTTCTGAGGTTGCTGTAATACGCTTGTTTGATCCAACACTGTCTCCCAGATGTTATGGAATAATTGCAACGAAATAAGTACAATAAATATAAATGTAATATTAAAGATGTTAATATTAAAAGATGTTAAAAGACAGAAAAGTCAGATTTGATCTGATTAGTGGAATGCCAATTTATTCATAGAAAGTATTTGTCACTCTAATATAAATATGAATAATTTAAATTTGAAATATTTAAATATTTACATATTGTATATAAAATAATGAAATCTTTAATAAAAGTTTTTTCATTAAATTGTCAAAATATTTAAATTCACATAAATCACATCATATGAAACGCGGGCTTCAACGCAGGTAACACGGCAATTTTAAGATAGGATTTTGTATAAATGTGAGATTTTCAAGTATGATACTTTTATTTATCTTAAAAATAATCACTTTTTATTAATGCATTCATCGTACATTATACATATACAATTACTTAACTCATGATAGAGTTAAGACTTATTTTCTATGTTTTATCCTTAATATTATAATCTTCCTGTTTGCTTTGTATATTTATAATACAGTTGCGTAAATATTTACTTCTTAGTGTACGAGAGCGAGTTCGTAAGTAACTCTAAGGAAATACAAACGGAAACTATAGAACTGCAATTGCACTGTTTACACCTGCTCACAATTTCTACTTCGTCCTGTAATACTTTACTGTAATACAGCTAGATTCTAGAAAACGCACGAATTTTAATACATTCGACAAAGATTATGAGCCATATTGACTGAAATCTTCAATATCTAGTAAATTGTTTTGTTTCGAACAGACGTATATAAAAAATGAGTTAATATTAAATATGTATAAAATACATATTTATTATTTTTATTTATAAAACGATTCAGTGTTAATATCATCCAATAAATATCCATCAAATAATTGATGTAACTTGGAATTTCTTCGGAAGATAATCACAATCGTGTACAAATATCAAAAATTACGAAACAAGAATCAAGAGGTTTGTAATTTGTGATAAGGGTGTATTATTGTTATTATTTTCAATTAATTTGCATATGTCATTAATCATCCTTTGACTTTTATCGAGACAAATCAAATTTAAGAGTTCAATGATTTTAAGATCAATCCATTATAGTAACTAAAAATTACTTGTCGTTTCCTACAAGGTAATTTTAAATGATTCTATTTGTGTGAACATACTATTTTATATAAACATACTAAGAACACGAATCAAAGGTAAATCGCATTACTTAAAGTTTAAACACAATCAAAATTTTATATGTATATAAATCAATGCCACTGTATTAAAACAGATTTTTCCTAAAAGTTTTGATATTTTTGTAAAATAGAAGCAAAATATATACAAGATTCTATTCTATTGTAAAACGTTTCTTTTCGTTTTAACATCAATGTGACTCCGATTATAACACACATAATTTAAGAGAACTATTGATTCTCAATTAATAATTAATATTTCATTTTACTCATAACGTCTACCATTGTCTTTGAATGACAAACTATCACTTTGTATAACTTGTTCCTAGCATTCAGGCCTTTCTCGTTATATTCGTAGTTTCTAAGTATTAAAATAAATAGTTTGTGCAGAAGGAAACAAGTCGCACGATCTATAAATATTTGCTAAATTATATGGTGTATGATATACAAGAATGATAGGTAATTACTATATATCATACCTGTACAAAAAGAAAATACGATTTAAAGAATTTGCATCCTTTTCAATTGTCAATTAATGCTGCTTTTTGTATGCAAAAATTATGCTTACAAGGAATGTGTAAAAGCTAGTTCCTAGTGCTATGAATGTACGGAGATGCAAAAATACATTGCGCAATTTACATTAGCATTTGATGTGAAAAAGTGGTAACATAAATTAGAAACAAAAGAAAAGGATACGACATCAAAGTATTAATCATCAAAGGATTAATATTCAAGGTATATAAATCTAGTAAAATACGGATTTTTTTTTTCAATTTTCACCGATGTATCGTTTTGTGCCGTTGGCGAGCTGCGTAAAAGAGTCAATGATTTTACTTGGCGTAAAATTAATCATCTATCTGATTTGACTTCTGATTTAATAGTCGGCGCTAGAATCTTGAAAAGGAAGATCTAAATCAATGTTACGTTTTTTCCACAACATAACACGCTTGTCGTACGATTAAACTCGACTCTGAGATCAACCCACGGTATTATCGCACAAGCACTGCTTGTGCAAATTTGTCACAACCTAAACATTAAGTTCCATCGATAAGTTCCTAAAATCAAGCTTAGTTACTGCCTTAAACAAATAGTATAATACAATATAGACAACTCTATTACAGTCGCCTGATTGCGAGTCAGGTGTACTTCATAGTAACGACCTCTTCACCTCTCAATTGAGGGTGAAGTTTTTACCGCTTGGCTAAAGTATATTCTCGTCGAGTGTTATATGGCTTGGTTTACATTTTTCAATAGACATTATAGCGCGGCGGAATTACAATTGTCGACTAGTGGTGATAGCGGACCGATCTTTCCTCTTCCACTTCCTACTCGGTCTGCTTCATAATGAACGTCCAAGGACAAACCTAAAAATAACAAGCGCTTTAAGCTTTATATTATGCAATACAATAAATAAAACATTCTTAAAACTTTAGCTATATAATAATGATTTTCATAAGTAAAATTTTTAGCTTATATAAGTTTGATTGTGCTTATTCAACAAAAGTCAATAGAAGTAGCAATTAAAATAATTTTCGATGAATCCCATCACCATAAAGATATTTGGCATTTTAGCATACTTGACAACCTGTAACGTACATTTCTGATATGCGTATTTACCGGAGGGCCTCCGGGAAGTGGATGGATGATGCAACGATCCTGTTGACATCGTATTTGATTCAGGAATAAATGCGGCTACTAGCAGCGCGCAGATCACAAGTAACGCACCAAACACGAACGGCGGCCCCGGTACGAGCTGAAAATTCAATTTAACTTTTTTATTTTTATTTAAATCGACACAACATTTTTCTTATACATTTATATATACGTAAACATATCGATTTTTTTCTTTTTAATAAACAACTTCAATGTCGTATATATAAAACTTAGAAAACAGATAGGCTAACAAAAAGAAACTATGCTTACCTGCAAATATAATGTATGTACCTGAGGCATTATGTCAAGATGTGTACTAGTTCCCGTTCTGTTGTTTTCGTCCACGAACGGTTTCAAGGGGAGATTGGGGGTGTCGTCGTTAAGATCAACGTGAAAAAGATAAAATATGACGCCGAACATAGCAGGTCCGAGTCCGTTGCAGAGACCACGCATCCCAGTTACCATACCTTGTACCAATCCTTGTTTATCAGCGTCTGAATGCATGGACACGAATGCGGAAATTGCGGGATATGTAATGCTTGATACAGAAGCAAGTACTCCAGCAGCCCACATCATCCTTGAAATAGAAGGCTTGACATCAGACTTAACTCTTATTATTTAATTGATTCAATAATTTATTGAAATTTTTTATGTATTATTAATAGGGTGATAATACATCAAATCGCTACAATGCAAATGAAAAAATGGTTTACCATGTTTGCGAGCCGAATCCATACCACATGAGCTGTAACATCTCAAACAACAGACCGAGCATTATGGTATGTTTGCTACCGAGTGTTTTCATCAAGGGTCCTAATACAATCTGCGCTCCCACACTCAGGATGCCCACAACGGCGATAAATATTGCTACCATGAGATTAGAGAAGCCCATAGCATATTTTAAGTAAACAAATATACAACTATACTGTCCCGCTTCAGGAAGGTAACTCAGGAACACGGTAACACACAGCATTAAAATAGTATGATCTTTTCCAACCTGCAAAGTAAATTTACATATTTTTTACAATTTATTAAAAAAATATGTATATATATATATATATAGAGTATGTGTATATATACATATAAATATATTACCTTTCCAAGAGCAGCAAACGGATCAGCTTGCTCCCATGATATAGGTGCTGGTGGACGTGTTTTTTCAGGCAAACTTTCAGGTACAGCCACTAATATGAAAAACACATCTAAGACTGCGATAGCTGTTGCTAATGCTACGGCAAGATTTTCTCCATAAATATCCATGATATAAGCACCTAAAGCTGGGCTTATCACCATACTTGCAGCAAAAGTTGCTGATACCTGAGGAACAAGTGAAATAAAATTTATTTTACAAGTTAGATAACCAAGATTATCATCACAGATTATTTTTATTACTTATAAAAAAAAACATTAAAATGGTCGTTAAAATGCAAATATTGTCATTCTAATCGTAAAAATGATATACCACGTACCAAGCCATATGCCAGTGATCTTTGATTTTCTTCCGTCACGTCCGCGACGTATGCAAACACCACTGAGAATGTGCAAGCAAATACGCCACTGATGGAAATCATGGCAAAGAACCACCACGTATTAATGCTCATTAGGGGAATTGGTGCGCATGTAAAGGCCACTGTGATAAATAAAAAAAATTTTCGACCCCATACGTCGGAGAGAGCACCGATCAGTGGCGCGGAGAGAAAAGACAGGATTCCTTTGATTCCTATTATCAAGCCATTCATCAGGAACGTGTGATCCGGAAAGGTTTCATTCAGTACCCTAATAATAGGCATGGTTAACAGTCCCCATGCAAAAAATTCCAGAAATATGACAACCAATGCGTGATAGACGCTCGCCTCGCCGACACCGGAACTCTGAAAAAAAAAAAAAAGATACAACAGCATATTACAAGATGCTCTTTAACACACGAACAAGCTGTAAATTACAGAAAAATCTTTAACAAGAGTGTAGAAGAGTTTCGCGATATATGAAATACAAGTTTTCGTTTTAAATAGATATACGGTCTTCTGCGTATATCACAAGTAACAGATACTTATGATATTTTAGCAGCTGACCTTGAGGTGTCTGTAGCATTGCTGAACGAATGTAGGGGGAGGCGTGAGTTTGGCTATAGCGTGATCCTGGCTGTTGTGTATCTCAGAACAGGTCGGGCCCAAGCCCTCTGTTCCACTGTTTGCCCCAGGGGGCATGACCCCTAAAAAATATCGCTATGTACGTTTCCTCTCATATTCTCACGTTTTAACCGATACTCTTGTAGTCATCCCGCTCGCGGGTGTGTGATAAAGAGATGGGTAATCTTCTCTTAATGTCATATCAGCGCGCTGTTTCCACAGTTCCGAATTGTATTTTAATTCGTCCTTCGATATTATTCGCAGCTCGTTTATCGCTCGGATCGTCAAGTCCGCATGATTTTTCATAGCTTTTTTAACGGAACGTCCAAAATAGATGAGGTACCGAACCATAATTGCATTGCGTAACTCTGTTATGTTTTATTTTAATTACTTTATGAATAGTCTCTTCAGTCATACTGTCACGACCATTTGATTTACCGGCACACTATATTTGCATCACAAATGAGGTTGTTACAACGAAGCCGTGTATCTCTGCCTTCACTATGTATTCATTTGTCATGTCTATTAGAATCAATCTAATGCTTGTTAATACAAAACTTTGACGATTTATAACGGCTCCGATGAAACCATTGGCTTTTACATCTATTTACTATTTACTTAATTTTTTGAGAATATATTATTTATACGTCTTTTTATGTACACTCCGCTTTAATGAGTTTTAAGTAAGAAATATTATTCAATCGGGAAAATACTGTAAGTCACTCCGCTGTCACTCTTGCGCTTCCTCGTTTAGCAATTACGTTTACGAGAACGTGACATAATCAATCTTCTCTGACAATCGGTTGTCAACGTTTGAACTTTATTTATGGCAGTGCAGGGCTCAAGCTAGCGCGTCCTTGCGTGGCATCCTCTTAAAAATCCATTCGCTCTTACGCACGTTTCGTATCTCTCGATGGAAACTCCGCGATCATCGAGTCACATGACATAATTAGTCCTGTAACGCTGTCGTCACGCGTGCCAAATCAGTGGCGTCATTAGGTTTTCTTGGCAAGTTACGAGACCCGGAGAGTAAAGCAAAGGAGCTCCGAGCGACGAGATAAAGCTTGGGAATACCGAGTGATATCTTTCACGCATTATCTAAACATCGCTCTTCTCTCTCTCTCTCTCTCTTTTTTAAAAATCTTTTCTTGCGACGAAAGCTTTCTCCGACGACAAACGGAGAGCAGCGCGAGGCGTTAAAGAAGGAGCGCGACGTCGTCGGGACGACGCTGGCTTCCCCAAGTCTCTCCGAGCCCGGGGAGTCTCGACTCGCGCGCGCGGCCTTGATCCGATCGCGCGCACGGCCGCGGCGCGCGTGACGTCACAGAGAGATCCGAGGGGACGCGAGGGACTCGTCGGCGATGGGGAAGCTCCACGGCGCCGTCCGCGGCGCGGTCCCCCTGCAGGTCGGCGACGCGCGACTGCACTTGACACGTCCGGGAGTCCTCTGTGTGCGTGACCGCGGAGCGGCTTTGCGCCGCGGACGGAATCTCTCCTTCTCTTCTCTTTCTTTCCGACCGTCACTCTTTCTCTTTCTCTCCTCGTCGCCCCCTCTCCTTGGTCACCCTCCTGTCACGGTATCAAGTATCTCTAATCTTGGACCACGGCCGTTCGTGCGCGGCGGCGGCGGCGGCGGCGACGGCTGCTGCTGCTGCTGCGGCAGGATCTCGAATCGATCACATTATTTCCAGCCGAGACCCTTCGATCCCGCGCCCCGTCAATCCCTCGCGCGGTCCATTCACGTCGCGCGGGAATCAAGCCTCCGCATCGCAACTACTCCAACTGGTCTCCCCCCCCGCACCCCCCTCCCCCACGACGTCCCCGCTTGACGAATCAGCGTATAGTCTCTTCGAGCTAACTCCGGACTCGTCCTAACCTAACGACACGGCCTCAACAGCTGGCGACTCGCTCGTATATTCAGCGCAGGCTCCCTCGCGGCACCTTCGGTTCGGCTTCGGCTGGCAGCATCGCGCAGGGTTACGCTTCCGCGTACGTTGCGTTTTGCGGAGAGAATATCGCTCTGCGTGACACATTACGATTCAATTGTTAGCGTAAGATGGAAAAACGCATTGTCGAATAAATTGATCGATGCGCGCGACACTTGCGACCTGTTTATGCGCTATATATATGTGCGTATGCGTACATATAGGAGAGCGCACACACGCGCTCAAAAAAATTTTATGTGTAGTACGTAACATATACATATGTATAGCGGCTGCCGACAATATAATGATAAAAACAATGGTCGTGCCCGTGGAATAACATTCGCTTTTTAGCTCTCACGATTTTATCGAAATATAAAATAAGCTCGGCAAAAGCAATTCAAAAGTCACAATAGCTGCCAGGAAAAAATCTATTGTTCTCTTCCATCGGACTGAGCAGCAGGGAATTAATTTGACTTGTATTAAATACAAATTTATTGAGTGATCCATTGAACAGTGATTACGGAACGTGGTGTAAAAGCGAGGCTTTTTCTCCCTTTTTATCGAGGTATGTGTACACATCTATAGAAATTCTAAATTAAATCAGCATCTAAATTGGAGCTAACGTATGACAAATTTTTTTCCCTCGTCAATTCGCGATTTTCTCCCTCCGTGCTTCACACATCGGATGCCCTTTGTAAATTCGCAAACAACTGCGTCTGCGAAAATAGTCTAATCAGCTGATAACACGTCACTTAGGTTATGTAGTTATGTTGCAATTATTGATTCTTTCTCTTGTAATTGTATGTTACATTGTAAAGTAAAAAATAATATAACGAACAATGGAAGATGTGCATCTGAATAAGGCAACAATTTTTGATTTGCTACTCAAACGCAGGGAGGAAAATACTCTATATACACATATACATTCGTACATTTGTGTACGTGCATTTGTCATGCTCGTTTAAAAAGTAATTCATACGCGTGCAAATATATATCTGTCGAAGGATTAAGAATCCATGGATATTAACATCACCCGTGTTATTTTCGCAATTTGCAAAAATATTACGGAAATATCAGAGATCGCACGTAACGTGGGCAGAACATGACCGTATGTTCTCGCCCGCAGATGTTTCCCAGGGACAAGGTGCAAATTTCTACTTGAATAGAGCCGCTTTTCCATCGGCATATTCCGATCGTGCAACTCTGCACGAAGATAAAATGGGACTCGAGAGATAAAAGCGGCGTAACGCAAATACACGCAGGTATGCCGCGGGTGTCGGGAGCGCGAGAGGGTGCAACTCTCGGTTGGCACCGCCGGGGAAGGGCGAAGAGCAGAGGGAGGGGGACGCGGCGACCGAGCTGGTGGGTGAGTGTGGTGTCAATGAGAGATTTAACGAAAATCATTGGTACCGTGATGACTCCATCCTTCATAATGGACTTTCGGCTTCGTATGATCATGCCCACGACCTTCTTGGAGACCTTGGCGGGCATATTCACGCACTGCGCGCACAGACTCTTTCGCTTCTTCAATTTCATGAATTCCTAGACTCGCGGCGGCACGGAACAAGTCATTTTCCCGCGAACACACAGCCTTCTCCTCTCGCGCACACAGCCGTTCGTCCCACGGAGACGTGATTACTTTCAGCTAGCGCGAATCGTTCTCATGGTGGCATCTACATAACAGCGGTGCAAACAACGGCGAGAACAAACGAACGTATCCGCGTGTCCGCGCGGACCAACACGAACTATCGTGGTCGGACGACCGCGGCGAACGATCACGAAGTATCTCGAGGCGATCAAAATTGTATCAGCGGCCCCGCGGGGTTAACGCGATTCCCCGTACCGACAGGTGGATTTCCATGCGCGCCGCGAAACGCCATCCGGACTACGCTATTGGTTGTTCTCGTTTTCACGTCCAAAAACAGCTTGATTATAATGTTGAAAGATAAAAGCTTGCCTGTGTGGCTTATCTATGATAGTGCATTTATAAAATCTTAAAGGTCTTCTAGTTAATAAACAATAATGTTTTTTTGCTGAAAAGCGCATCTAAAGTTGACAATGTAAACGTTGCAAACTGCCGACGCTTTTCATATCAATCAGACTCCGATTAATTTATCGTAATTAACATCTCCGTATTACTCTGTAGAATTGTTTATTTTTTTGTTATCTGATACACGTGAAAGAAGAAGATTAGATCAGGGACAGTGAATATAATTTGTTTTGTATTGGATAGATTGGACAAGCGGTTGCGGTTAGCTCCGTTTTTCGAGAAGTCGCTCTTGCGTAGACTCGCTATTCTATGGACGAGATCGGCGCGGCTGCGGGGCAGCAGCGGCACCACCTAGCGTCGCGCGCACGAGACTCGACGACACGTCTCTCTCGCGGAGCGGAGCGCGCTCGTCAGAGTCGTCAGACGCCCGAGCTACGTCGATTAGTGCATACGTACCGCTTTGCGCATAGCACCGTGAGAGTGCGTAGCGTTCAGTGGTGGATAAAAAAAAAAGATGGTAGTTATTTGGGTGTAGTCGGGGCGAATTTTCTGCGCGAGATAAATGTGAGTACCGGCTGGTTAGAGGGATTTAACGTGGTGCCGTTTTTCCGTTGACGCAACCGCGAGGGCTAGTATGACTGGGTCCGTGTCGGAGGTAACGAAAATACGTGAGAGCGGACGGACACTGATTCTCCCCCGCATGAAAGCCCGAGACCGAAGTAGGTACCTATACTGGTTTGGCTCTCGTGCCATCTCTCTCATCTCCGCATGACATGTTACATCGCGGCGCGGACACACACATTGGCGAGATACTCTCTTTATCAGTCACAAAAATAACGGCGCGCCGCATGACGTGCCGCGGGGCGCCGCGGCCTCGGCGCCACCTCGCCCGCCAGGCCGCGACGGGACGTCGTCGCGCTCGCGGTAGTAACGCGCGAAACGTGTCCCCGACGAGCGATATTTTTGGGATAGATGTCACGTTATCTCTTCTCCGTCTCTCCGGGCGCGTGCGGTGGTGTGTGCTTTTAACGCCGCCTTACAACAAACGTATCGTGCGCCTCCTCGCGCTGTTCGCGCTCGCGCGCGCGCGCCCCCCTCCCGCCCCGTGTTGCGTGCGCGTGTATATGTAGTATATGTACGTGCGTGTGCAACGGACGGGTGTGTGCGTCGTTTGATTTGCGAACGCCTCCTCCGCGTGTGTTTGTGCGTATGTACGTGTTGCGTGCGCGCGAGATCCCCCTCGTCGGCCGCACGTCGTGTAAACGCGGCTTCCTTTACCCGTGTCAACGGGTCGCGCGCGCACGACCCGTTCGGCTGTGCCTCTCGGTGTGTGTGTGCGTGCGTGCGTGACACGTTTGTGTGCGCGTGTCGGGACACCCTATATATTGTCGTATTTTTCAAGCGGCGTATCCCCACGGTGTGCGCGCTTGACAACATTCTGCGACTTTAACGGCACAAACGTGTCTCTCGTCCTCGTGTCTCTTTGTTTGTGATATGCTCGCGCGTGGTATGCTCCCGTGATCAAAACACCAAAAAAATTTTCCCTCCGTCTTAACCGTTTCCTTCATTGACGCGTTGATATAGTTTGATAGCAAATTGATTTGCGGTAATACTCCGTTTAGAGGATTCGTACGTCGTGCATTTTATACGCCTGCATCTCCGTCACTCTCGATTTTATTGCTAAACGGGTAATTTTCATAACTAGTTAATAACAGTTGATAACGGATGTATCTTAATGTAAGATGTAGGTAATTAGAGATATTCTCATGTGTAAACCGCAGCACTTGTATCGATTTTTGTTGATTATTTTTTTATGTATTTTTTGTAATTATACATCAAGTATTGTGGTGTTAATTAGTGATGAATCTCAGCAACGGTGTTTGCTGATGTGTCATTAAATATTGCGTTGTATTTACTTGTAGCTGTCTATTAACGAGCTAGTCATATTAAATTTCTTTATTTATTAACTATTAATTTCTGCAATTACAACAGCTTTTTATCAAGTTGTACAACAAATGCATCAACTTTGTCACATTAATATGTTTTATTAATTACCATAGACTACACGGGTGTTTCAAGAATTTTAATTAAAATTAAAATAATATTTATCATGTTGTTTTTAAGCAGTAATAATTTTTTCTTTTTTATTTCTATATTTTTGGTAAGATATCTCTTGTATCAAAAAATTGGTTTTACATTGTCAGAAATTTTATGTTGTCAGGATAAAATAAAAATGTTTATAATGGAATTTTCATTAAATAATTAGATGAAATTATCCTCTGATTTCAGATTCTTTCAGTTCCTCGGGCACTAGAAATTTGCTAGCTAGCTCAGCCGTTTGTATGGTGGGACATGTAGCCTAAGCCCAAAATGTTACAGATACGGATATTTTAAATCTTATAACAAAGACTGCTCGTTAGAAACATATAGTCACGGTTGGGAAAGTTTTAATTTGGTTATCTCGAGGAGGCGATGATAATATGAATCTTATTAATTTTATATCGGAGCAAAGTTGAGTATAGAAACACAAGGGGATAGGGAAAGTAATTTTGTGAAATAGAATCTTAAAGAAAGTTGGTTATGTGCAATGCCGAGATGCTACAATGACAGCAAGACAGTGAGTTCAGTGAACAGCAACTATAAGCACAGTACAGACGATATTATATTAACGCAATCGCATGCTTTCTCTCTCACGATTGGAAGTCAATTGAACGTAGACGAAGATCCACCGGTAGTTGAAAAATCACACAGACGGCTTCGGTGTGACCTCAGTCCTGTCCCACCAAGTACAAACTCCAATTTAAACATAAAGCTTCTTGGATTAAAGGTAAGATTTTAGAATGTATGTATTTTTACACATGTAGAATCCATGTCATTAATTATATTTGAAAGATACAATCTGGTATTTAAAATATTAGAAATTAGAAATGCAGATGTATTTGTAATTAATTTCTTTATATTTGTTGTATTGTTGTAGGGTGATAAAAGTACTCGTCAGGATCATCAGGTGAGCACTGGATCTGGGGGGCACAGAGAAAAAAATAGGGAGACTAAAAAGAGAGCAGCTATAGGCAACACAGTGCGTGGATTTTTCTCATCTGGCCACAGCAGGCAGGACAGGTATAATGATGTCTGTATCAAAAATCATGCTTCTTACATTGTCATTTGTTACATCTTATTAATTTATAAACTATTTCTTTTATTGTAATATATTAATCTTTTTACTAGTTATGATAAATTTTTTTTATTTTTTAAAATATTTTTTAAAATATTTTTTTATAAAATTCTATTATTAATTGCGAATGAATGTAACTTTGACTATAACTGTAGTATTTTCTCGATAATTCACGAAAGAGTGGATATAAATTTTCCTTACATTTATTACGAATGCTGCAATATCTTCAAGTTATTGGCAGAGAAGTCGAGTTACTTCAGAAATAATTTTCAATAAGTATTTAATGCCTATGTATCAGATAATATTCCAAGTAATGCAAAAATTTGAAAAATTTAACTCGTCAATATTTTATCAATGAATGCGACTGAAAATATATTTTGAGAATTTTCTAAAGGATATCAACATATAATCTTAATTTATATTAACATCTTTCAATATATTTCATGGATTATATCATTTTCACATTATAAGATTTTCTATTGCTATTAAATTTTTACTAAATATTTTTCGATTTTTGCTATATTACTAATAAACAATTATGAATTATAATGAACATAAATATCTAAATTTGTGTTTGGGTTTTTCTTTATTTAAGCTATCAATATTATAATAAAATGTATGCCTGAGTTATTTGCTTTAAGTTGTCAGTGTTATTAGAAAATTTATATCTGAGTTATTTGTTTAAACTAGAAATGTAATAAAAGCTTAGTTTAAATTTTTAAAATTTTTGATACGATATATATATTTAATGGCTTAATGTAATATATTACAATAACGAAATTTGCTTAATGTTTTTTTTTTATATATAATGGAGTAGAATAAATTGACAACCCAAAATTATTAATAATGAAATTTTTAAAAATGCAAATTAAAAAATAATTTAGTTTTTATTTATTTAGTTTGCATTTAAACTAATATATATATATATATATATATATATTTAATGCTATTATTCTTTAATTAATCCCTTCTTTCTCAATAATCGAGAATATACTTAAGTTGATTACACAGTAAGCTTGTTATGCACCAATATGAAAAAATGCTTTGAATTAATAGTTAATATTAATATATTACTAACTATACAATATAAAAATATACATTATACACATGTATACATATATGATATAGATTTTGAAATAACAAATGATTCCTCTGCATTCTATAGCTTTACTCTTCAAAATTTTCCTGTATTTTTAAAAACAAAAAAAAGTAGTACACAGATTATTAGGTGCCTCATCTATATTATCTCTTGACAAATTTTGTGCGTGTATACGTGTGTGTATATTCAAACAACAAATAAGATATCGGACAAATCACCCAAAATTCTGATAGGAAAGACTTAACATTCCTTATAGATGAGTCATTTAATGTCTGTCGCTAGCCTATTTCTTTACATATACATATATACGTACGCACGCATATGAAAACGAGCTTTTCAATAATTTAAATATTTATGTGAGTGATGTTAGCTATTAACATAATGTTTTAAATTTTAATATTAAATTTACATTTTTTCCTAAGATCAAAATAAAATGAATAAAAAAAAAGTTAAAAGTTACTACTTTTGTCTTATATGAAGTAAAACTTGTTTATCCTTAATATAAAATAATCTGTGTGGAATTTCAGGTATGAGACAAACAGGCAACGTTCTTCAGGTGGAACTGGCGGTGGCTTGTCTAGTTTATGTCCTAAGCTGGTGGCCAGTGGAGGCACTGGCAGCCAAAGTGGCATCAGTTTGGCAGTGGGCCACTTAGCCTCTCAGGAAAGCGGAGGCCCTTGCCCAGTTGTAACAACCCAAAGGATCCACGCACACAATCATAGACGCCAAAGAAAGCTATCTATTGTCGCGCAGGCAGGTCCTAGTGCCAACACTACTGGTGATAAGAAGGTTAGTTAAATTTTGCATTGGCTAAATTAACACGGAAACCGTCCAGACATTCATTGTATAACACGATTAAGAAATACTGTCACTGGAATATTTCAAATTGTCATGTATTATCACCAATTTAATGTTATTTTGTGTATTTTAAACAGGTGTTATCCAATATAAGTCGCTCCGCTAGTATTTCCAAAAAGCAAATTCGAATACAGCGACACGATCAGAGTACTGATTCTTTATCTATAACTAGCAACGGTCTTGCGACCAGCTCGCCATGTTCTAAAAAGAAAGTACTATCTGCCTTGCGTACCTCTGATCGATCATCTACCCAGAGTGTGAATTCATCATCCTTAGATCATGAAAATGATCGTAGTTTCAGTGATGCTGAAGAAGCAATCGCAGCAACGGAGAATGCGTTTGCAACACCAGGTAAATTTTCAAGATCAAAATAAAATTGTGTAATATATAGAGCAATCTATTGAAATTTTATTATATCACATAATATATGTATGTATATAGGGTCTAGTTCTACACCGTCTACACCAATTAGTAAAATAAAATCGGCAAAATTCAAGGATGAAGGAGCAAATGTGGAACATAACATTCTCGCAGAATGTACCGATTCATCAAGGAACGTTGCAGATGTACAACACGTGATTTTAAATGAGTTCGAACAAAAAAATGTTATGCCAATAAAACCGTCTGCGGTACACGAATTACGCGTGGTTAATCAGGAAAGTATTATAAATGATAAGCAAAAATCGTCGTGCTCTACCCTCAGCGGTAGATCTATTAGTAATAGCGATCAAAAAGTTTTGAAGCAAAAAAATATAAATTCGGCAGAGAAAATGATTGAACATCATAGTAGTAAAGACATCGAAACAGCTAACATAGATAAAGATTTAAATGATACTACGATATCGACAGACACAGAAATGAATTCCATAGATGATAATAATGAAGGTAAACAAGGAAAAAGTAGAAAATCTCTAGGGTACACGGACGGCGGTACAGATGACGGTACAGAGAAAGAGACCGCAGATCCTTCAAGTACTGTAAACAGCGATAAAAGAAAGAAGATAATGAGGGTCAAAAGTAACACAGGTTTAAGCGAGGAGGTAATTAAGAGTTCAAGGTTCGTAACGTCAAAGGTAGTAGAGGAAATAACGGATGCAGACACTAAGCCGGTGGATATGGGTAAAGAGGAGGAGGAGGAAAGAGTGACGATATACGATGACGATGGCACCAGTATCAGTGACATAGTAGCAGCGCAGGCACTTCATGAATCGTTAAGTAAATTAGGCAAAGTTCCGCCGTTAGACACTGAGATGGAAAAAGTGCAGAATACGAGTTTACGAGACGAAACGAAAATGAGGGAGGATACCGAAAAGGATATTGTTACGCAGGAGGAAACGGTGGAAGGTTTTATCGGTCCGTTGCTCGACGAAAACTTTAAAGCTGATGAGAAATTGTCGCAAAAAACAATGGCGATGGAGGACGTGCAAAATTTATTGATGAAAGTCAAGGTGCAAGCTGTCGAGGATGACGACGACGAGGAGAAAGCCGTTGGTATTTCACCGGATGGAAGATTTTTGAAATTTGAAGAGGAAATTGGTCGTGGCAGTTTCAAGACTGTTTATCGCGGGTTAGATACCCAAACAGGCGTAGCTGTCGCTTGGTGTGAATTGCAGGTCAGTAAGATATCTTTTTAAAACATGTATATTACAGATAAGTATTTTTTAATATTTTAATACACGTTTTAATTAAAGAGATTAAAGTTCATTTAGATAATGGAAGTAAAATAACGTTTTTATTTTTGTCATAGGAGAAAAAGTTGAATAAAACAGAGAGATTGAGATTTAGGGAAGAAGCTGAAATGTTAAAGGGATTACAACATCCGAATATTGTAAGGTTTTATGATTATTGGGAAGTCACACTTACTCGTAGAAAATATATTGTACTAGTCACTGAACTTATGACATCAGGAACATTGAAAACGTAAGTTTTTTTTTGTTGCATATATTTCATTCGAGTGTATTCATTATTGTGTAATATATGTTTACTGGTTGCTGGTTTACTGGTTTATAACAGGTATTTGAGGAGGTTCAAAAAGATCAATCCCAAAGTAGTAAAATCGTGGTGTCGGCAAATCTTGAAGGGTCTGAGTTTTCTTCACTCTAGGGCACCGCCTATTATTCATCGTGATTTAAAATGTGATAATATTTTTATCACGGGTACTACGGGAAGCGTGAAAATTGGTGACTTGGGTCTCGCAACATTGAAGAATCGTAGTTTTGCAAAGAGTGTAATTGGTACGCCGGAATTTATGGCGCCCGAAATGTACGAGGAACATTATGACGAATCAGTGGACGTTTATGCCTTCGGGATGTGTATGCTCGAGATGGCTACTAGCGAGTATCCATATTCTGAATGTACAGGACCAGCGCAAATATACAAACGCGTAGTATCGGTAAGCGTGTATTGCAATTTTAAATTTTTCTGTCAATATAATTTTTTATGGTTTATAATAGTAATATTTACATAGAAAAGATAATGATTTTTCTAAATCTTATAAATATAATTTAACATACAAGAAATAATGTGACATTCTAAAAAGTAATTTATATTACGCAGGGTGTTAAGCCACAGAGCTATGACAAAGTTGAAAATCCGGAGGTACGTGATATTATAGAAATGTGTATACGTCTGAAGAAGGAAGAACGACCGCTCGTTAGGGATTTACTTAATCATGAATTCTTCGCCGATGATGTTGGACTGAAATTGGAGATGGTGTCGCGGGATTCGGCGGTTGCGGATACCGAGCTGTCGCGTGTTGAGTTTAGATTGCGTGTGCTGGATCCTAAAAAGCGCAGCAACAAGCACAAGGAAAATGAGGCGATACAATTCGAGTTTGACATACAAGCTGATAATGCGGAGGAAGTAGCGCTAGAAATGGCGAAATCGAGCCTTATATTAGAGGAAGATGCTAAAGCAGTGGCTAAAATGTTGAAATCGCAAATTACCACTCTATTGCGAGAACGAGAAGAACGTAAAGCCAAAGAGGAGAAGGAACGTTTGGATAGGGAGACTGCCGCTACAGCTGCAGATGTCGCAGTTAATGCCGCAAACACTGCAAACGCCGCGAATGCCGAGAATTTACTACAGCAACAATTACTTCTTCAACAGATGCAATTGCAACAGCAGCAGCAGCAACAACAACAGCAACAGCAGCAGCAACAACAACCACAGCAAATTCAGTCTAATATAAATATACAGATGCAAAATCCAGTTCCGATACAATTACAACAAACTCAAATGCCCATTCAGCAACAGCAATTACAGTCGACTCAACAAGCTCAACAACATAATTTACAAGCGCAACAGGTTCAGTTGGTCCAGCAACAACCAATAATCCAACAGCAAACGTCGGTCGTGCAACCCCAACAAGCACAGCAAATACAATATCAACAGCAAATACAGCCGCAGTATCAGCAGCCGCAACAGCAGCAGTATCCTCAGCACGTCCCGCAGAGCTTGAACGCGAATTCTCCACAATGTTCAACTCCGCAAAACGTTCCGGCTCAGCCTCAATTTCCACAGGTGCCACAGCAGCTGCAGCAACAGCAGCAGCAGCTGCAGCAACAGCAGCAGCAGCAGCAGCATGTTCAGATACAACAGCAACAGCAATATATACAGTTAAATCAGATGGGTGTTCCACAACAAATTCCTCATCAGATGCAGCAACAGATGCAGCCTCAAATGCAGATGTTGCCTCAACAGCAGCACATGCATCAGCAGCTTCAACAACAGCAATACGCGACACAACCGCAACTCCAACATGTTCAGCAACTGCATCAGCATACCGTCAGTTCGCCGCCTGTTCAGAATCAGCAATATTATCAGCAGAATACCACCGGTTCCTCGGGATACGTATCAACGGGCTCTTTGTATCAACAGACCATGCCGCAACAAATATTTCACACGTATACCACATCCAATCCCTCCGGTCACGTGGAAATCTTATCGTCCACCCAAACTGCGACGCAGATTTACTCTCACACGAGTTTGCCAGCGGGCGCGGTGCCTACGGCCTCGCAGTCGCAATACATCCCAACGACAGGTCAGGTACAGGCATCTATACCCTCGGGCATGAGTGTCAATAATTCGTCGGCTGTGACTCATATGCAAAGTGCCCCGACTTCGACAATCCCCAATATGCAAAGCGCGCCCACTCTACTCGGCAACACTGCTCCGCAGCCTCAATCTCAACAAAATATTCTCGTGCAAATGCAGTATTCACAAAACACGAACGTTATACCCAATTCTATCTCAATAACGCCCAATATGGCAAACGTCTCGGCGCAATCGTCTACCAATCTGCAGCAACAACATCAACTTTTCCTCTCGAATACGGATCAGTGTCCCACGACTGACAGGTCTTCCCTAGTGAAACAAGACACAATGGATTCGGTACAGTCTCTGCCACTGGATCCATCAATTAATTTACAGCAAGATCAAATTGCTGCCTCTGCTTCAGTCGCAACGGGCGGTGTTGCACAGCAGACTGTAACGTCAAACGATGGGTAAGGCAATACAGCCTGAGTGTGAAGAGCAAGAGTGAAAAATTATGAATAAAAATTCAATATTTTATCTTCCAGAGTCACGCCAGAAAATTCCGAAAGCGTTACCGCTTCCGAGAGAAGCCGGATAAAACGTTCGGGAACTAAACGAAAGAAGCCGGGCATTAAATTAACAGTCTTGTCTGTCAGTAGCGGTGAGGGACAATCAATGACTGTCGAGTGCCAGTTAGATACGAGTAAACAAAAGACTGTTACTTTTAAATTCGATCGGGACGATATGGTACCCACGGACATTGCCAATAATTTGGTAAGGACATATCTTTTGATTTACTTTATATAGCTCGATGATTTATTTTATATATTACTTTCTATCTTACATCGTTTTCTCTCTTTTTCTCCTCTCTTAACATATTCAGGTTGCTGAAAATTTATTGCCGCAATCTCAGTGCGAGACGTTCGTAGAATTAATTGAAGATATTGTCAAACAATTGCGCTTGGATCCCACACGTACCCTACCTTTGGTAGCACATGGCCCACCTGATCAATCTGCCGGTGGAAGCCCGGTTACAAGTCGACGTCCTAGGGATCGCGACCACAGTCTCGATACAGCTAAAGTATGACTTTTGTAGCTATTAAAGAATAAGTTAGATATTAATATCATCATTAAAAAGGTGCAGTATATGATGTGATATTTACATCATATTTTGCAGAAATTTTTCTGCAATTAATTTCTTTACCACTAGGCGCTACTTTATGCGTGAAATTTTTCTGTGCTCTTTAAACATGCAGATGTGTCCAAGACAATGGATTCGCATATTTAATGTAGTTATTTTCTTTTCAAATGGACCAATTTGCATTTTAATTTAAAATTTAAATAACCCAGGATAGTAATATTAAATGAAATAGCGTAAGGGGTTTTGCGTGGAACATATTTTCGATATAAAGTAAAGGGTACGCATATAATTGGTGTATATGGTTTTGGACGCAGCAGGTGAGACATGGCTCGCTAACACGTCAAAGCAGCCACCGATCATCGTACAAAGTCCACCGTAGGCACCGTTCGGTGAGTTCATCGATCCCACCAGCCCTTCTCCCGTTTCTCCTGTATTTCAGAATTGTATACTCGTGGACACTTACGCATTTTTACACATGCAACCATTTACCCAGATTCGAACATTTGTTAGGTCGTTATAATTTTGTTTTATTATAGGTTCATATTATGTATGTAAAAACTTAAGAAAGTTTAGAGATTTAAAAAAGTTCGTTTTATATTACGATGATGATTTTTTTCATAACGCATACTGGACTGGCGGGATTTCGAAGAAATTATAGTTGAGAAATCAATTTCCGTGTCTATGGAAATTTTTTGGAAATGTCAAAACTTTCTTGGGAACGTATTTACATCATATTTTTACATCTTTCTTTTCGCAGCTCATCTCAGTATCATCATTACAGTACGACGTTTATGTATTAAAAAAATTATGTACACGTGTATATTATTATTACTATTATTATTTTGTGTGCTATATTCATTGATTGTATTGATTTATCTTAGAAAACAATTTCTTGCGCATTTTCATTATATGAAGATATACTATTTTACGAAAGTTTTAATTAAAAACATTTTACATATATTGAAATAAAATAGTTTATATTTTCATATATGTAAACTATATTTTGCATCATATTTTAAGTATTGCACGGTAATAAAATATGTTTATTTGTATAAGTGAAAATAAGCATGCTTTTATAATATATTTTTTTTAATAAAATTGTTTCTTCGCAGATTTAAAGTGTTTTATTTAAATATATTTTGAAGTTTATGATGCAAAATTGTTAATATGTGTATATACATATATTATATACACATGGTGTACCTGAAATAAGGTAACAAACTTCGGAATCAAACTCCCCACACCAAACATGAAAAAAAATTCATATGAACCATGTCCGCAAATCCACTGTTACTAATATACAGCTTAAAATGTTTAAGTATTATAACCGCCGTCGTGGAGTGGGGGAGGGGGGGAGCGCACGGACACTTCGATATCTATTATAATTAACAATTGAAAATAAATAAATGTTACTTTTTTATTTTCTCCCATTAATAAACATTTTGATGTATCTCACTAACGGTGGGTTTGCGGACGATGTTTGGTGTGGGAAGCTCGCCCCCGAAATTTGTTACTTTATTTCTGATGTATATCCTGTATATATGTATACGTATGTGTTTCATTGTTTATTTTCTATTTATCTGTCACCAATAGCATTTGAAATAATAACGAATATTTTATCCTTTTCAGAGAGACGAAACTTCGAATACTTCTACTCCAACGAAATTGTTGCCGATCGATCAGATTATTTCTCATATTGCCAATACCACATTGGAGAAGCAACAAGTTGCCGTTCAAACTCCTGACAGTCAAGCCGGTGCCGAAAATACATCAGCGGAAGCTTCCAGAAGATCATCCACATCAACGCAAAATACCGACACTTTAACTCCTACAAATATACCGAGTGATCCCACGGACAATCAAGAAACTATCGTTTCTGCAACGTCTGCGGAAACAGTTGTGGAAGCACAACATAATATTCAAGATGACGCTAATAATTCGGCCTTTAAATCTTATCAAACATCTACAACGCATGCTCAGATTCAAATACAAGATACTATAGTGAACGCAAGTCATGTGAGTGAGGTGTCGAAAGAATCTCAAGAGCAGCAAGATGTAATAGACATAAAGGAATCTGGAATAACTAAAGAGGCAAATGCGCCCGACGTTGTTGCAGAGGTGTCGACTTTGACAGTGCCGACGCGTAAAATTTCTCGCTTCTTAGTTAGTCCTGTGCTCGAACAAAAAAATATTGCGGCTGAAGAGGAAGCCTCTGCTGTCGGTGAAAGCATAGATCGTACAAATATCGCGATGTCACAGTCGCAATTTGTCGCGCCTGCTGCGAACGCGGAGCTCACATTGAAAAACGAGGAACACGTGGAAGCGAATGTTTTAGAAATTCAGAATGCGACGATGCTCGAACCAACTAGCAATAACGAGACAATAGTCCACGGTATTCCGTATACTGTGGAGCAGACAGACAGCACGCAACAGATCTTGCAGCCAGGACAGCAGTCGCTCGGATTGCAGCAGAGCGTTATTCAAATGCAAACTTTGCAGCAGGTAACGGGACATGTGCAACAGACCACGACTATCGGGCAGTCGAATCAGCATACCATAATCGTTCAGGGATCTACGATAACGTCGCAGCAAACTTCCCAGCCGATACCGCAAACTGGTGTGCAGCATTTCGTGCCGGTTAATTCGCAGGAGTTGCAGCCTCAGCCGCTTCACTCGAACGGAATGGTCCAAACGCAGCCGCAGTATCCGAGTCAAGCGATGATGCAGCCCGGCGTTGTGATGCAGCCGTCGCAGCAGCAAATCCCTCTGCAGCCGGGCATAATGCAGATACACATGCAAGCGGAACAGATGCAGGCCCAACGTTCGACGGTGCAGCAATTCATTCCGCAACAGGTGCAGCCCCCGACGCAGCAGTACGTGATGCTGTCGGGTCATATGCAACCGGTGCAATCGACGGCTATGGACGATCGAAGTCGCAGAGTGTCGAGTTTATCCGCCATGTCCAGTGTATCTTTAGACTCTCAAATCTCGGAATCATCCGCCATAGCCGAGGAAAAGAGGCAAATCATGAATGCAACTAATATACCTGTGATGCACATGCAACATGTACAAGTCGTTCCGCAAGACATTCCCGGTACAGTGCCGTTGTTGCAAAACGCCATGGAAGCCGCTCAAGCTTCTCATCAAAACGTGCAACACGTTCCGGGAACTTTGCCTCCATCTGCTATGCCTGTTTCCGTACATCCAATCGCTGCCACAGATATCTCCGCACCCAAAGTCGCCATTAAAACGAAAGAGGGGTCCTCGACGCTTCCAGATCTCGCGCAAAATTTAGCAAACATACTTTCGAATCCGAAATCCAAATCTGCCACGCCTCATCCTTTGACCAATCACGAACCAGTCGCTGTTCCTAACGTTGCTGCCCCCGCGTCGGTAGACTACAAAACTGTGCAGTCCGAGCAGTATTTTCAGCCTATACAACCGGAAGCGAGTCAGTTGCAAATTCAACCGTCTATTCAGCACAATTATCAAGGGCAGATCGTGCATCAGGGGTATCAGGGACAACCGAACTTTCAGCAAGCGTTTCAAAATCAGCAGGTGCTTCACCAGAATCAAGTGCAGCCGATACCGCAGTCGATTCCCTTAACAATCCCTCAACAGATCGACGCGCAGTCACAGATGCAGTCCATTCTCCAGGCTGTATCGAATCAATCGATCGCCCAAGGAAAGTGGATTGTGACTAATCAAGCTCCTCTGCAGCAGCCGATACGACATATACAGCCAAATCAGCTGCAGCCGCTCCCGAATCAATTACAGTTACAACAAATTCCTTTGCAGCCACAAATGCATCAGCAAATTATGCAAGACCAACAACACGGCGAATCTTCCGTCTTATTAGATCAATCACATTTACATTTGAAGTTTCCAGAACAACATCCACCGAAACCTTTGGAAATTGAGAATCCGGAATCTTTGAGTTCAAATTGGTATGTATGTTTGTCCATTCTATTCGCTAGTTAACAATATAGAAGAAAAACGACGAAATACATATGTCAACTGCTCTAGAGATTTGCATATTAAGTTTATTTCATCATTTCAGTATACGTCGTACCAGTTCCGATTGCCAGTTACTTACATCCGAAAATGAAAATTCCAGCCACGACGTGACGCCTGAGCACACTCTTGTTGAATCAATCGATTCTACATCGATTTTGCAACAACAGTTGTCGCAACCACAGCAGCAGCAACAGCAGCAGCAGCAGCAACAACAACAGCACCGCAAACTCAGTCAACAGAATTCGTTGGACAAAATGACAGATGTAAGCTGCGGGAATGTTGGAGGTGGTGCAGGTCCGCAAACTATAGCTGACTTGCATCAGAAACTTGTACAAGTGACTAGTCAGCCGTCGGAATCGCTGAACGTCGGTACACCACCTATAAGCTATCCTGCCACGCCTCATAATAATCAAATGGCTGGAGGACACGACGCGTATATGCATTCTTTGCAGCAGAAACTGTTTAATATTGGTGTGCCGGTTTCGTCCGCGAATGCCCCATGCCCGTTATCTCCTCAGACAACAATACATTCCTCCACTGTACTCGCCGACACGCAAACAGAGTCAATTATCGAGGGCTCCACTGTAACGCAAGACAGTTCGGGCGCATTTGCACTTTCGCAAAATGTAAGTTCTCTACGGTGTATTTTAGACTTGACGTGCTCAACTTATGATTCTCGTCCGTCCCAGGAGTATTCGCATAAAATTTCTCTTTCCAGAATGTGGAATGTTCCCTCGATAGTCCGACACCAGGAGCTCACACAGGATCCGAAAATATGAGCCCAAGCAAAGAAAATGTAAAGACACGAACTCAAAGACCGGGGTCCCGTTTACAGGAACTGGAGCAGGAATTGGCAAAGATACATCACAGAGGATCAGTTTTTGCAGCAGCTCCGGTTCAGCCGTTAACACCACCTATACCCGTACAAACGCAACAATCTGTGCAAAATTTGTTGACAACCGCTCAGCCAGTGTCAATGATACCTGTGGCTACTGTGACTCCTAACATCGTGACACCGCGATCTGGTACCAATACTCCAATTCAAGCAGAACTCCAAGACACTAATGAGGTAATTTTCTTTCAACTTTTTCGATTAATATATTTGCATTGTACCATTTATCTCTTTATTTTTAACGTATTGCATCTATTTTTATTGATTCGGAATTACATTTTTTGCTTTCTAAAGCATAGCAAAATTATGATAGAAATTGTTTTTATTACATCTGCTTTTTAAAATAACTAGTACACAACTACTAGTATGCGCGCTTCGCGCGCGTTGCGTATTAAATCCCATACATCTTCCAATAACATTTATACTAATTTAAATTTTAATTAAACAAATTTTAACAATTTTTGATAAAAAATAAATTTAAAAAAAAATGACGCTTTGCGCGCGCTGCGTATTAAACTCCATATATCTGCCAATAACATTGATACCAAATTACATTTTAATTTTTTAAATAAAAATTGTTTTTCTAAACATTTTTTATATCATGTGATTTTTTAAATAAAAATTGTTTTTTGACCTATTATCACCCACCACAACTATCCACCACCATCACCCCCACCACCACCCACCACCAGGAAGATATGAATTTTTAAACATTGGGGAAAGAGGCTTCAACGCCGGTAACACGGCAATTTTAATATAGGATTCTTGTTGAAATATTAATTTTGAAATAATGTTGATACAGAAGGCGAATCCTACTCAACCTACTCGAAAAATATCAAGATTTGTGGTTTCCAAAGTTGCGGGTCCGCCTGTTCATAGCAATGCTGCTATTAATCAACAACAGTCTACTGATGCTGCAAAGTCTCAATTACAACAAATGGAAGAATTAAAATTTTTAGAACGGCAAAATATTCTTTCTCATCATACAGATGATCTGCATGGTAAGAAATTTACTTAAACGATGAAAATTAAATAAAAACTAATCATATAGTAATAAATCTATATATAAGAACGTCTTTATGCATAAAGAAAATTAATATATATTTATTAATTATAGGCGTATCTGCACAAATATCTCATAGTCGAGAGAATTCTGTTCCACCTGTACAGGCGACACATGGTGCTAATATTGAAGTAAGTTTTTTACAACATTATTATTGTCAAAGAAAAATATAAAATATTGTAAAATTATTTTAATAAGAATAATAGATAATAATATTAACTTATTACATTACAGCTTGAAAAGGAAGAGAGATTTGTAGCTCTTACACCGAGTGAAGAATACCAATTACTTATAAAGAGGTAAGATTATTTAAAATGTGATATTTAAAGAGTGAAAATTTATATATTTTTTTATCTAACAGGATACAACAAAAATATATCATAAAAGTCGGAATAATAAATTTTGGAGAATTTTAATTTACGATTTGTTTTTTTAAGGATATAAAACAATTTTTATTATGTATAGACAAACTTTGGAACTAGAAACGTTGCAAAGAAGACATAGAGAAGAGTTGGAACGATTTCAACAACAACAACTGCAATTGCTTATTCAGCAACAGCAACAAGCAAGTGCGCTTCACCATCAGCATCATCCGTTACTTTATCACACGGTTGCAACAAATCTCTCTGGTCAGTAGAATTAATTTCTTTTCGTTGTACATTTATACGTATTCTTGTGTGTGTACAATGCATATTAATTGATGCGTCTTTTATCATTTGATGACAGGACCGAGAATTCCAGGAACGGAGGACTATCTGATGTTTAGCACAGCGCCACAGACTCCATTGCAGAAAGGGCCGAATAACTATCCGGATACGGATGAGACTTTACGACTGGCGATGCAGAAATTGAAGCAGACCCCACTGCAGCTTCAACCGCAGCAGGCATCGGCTGGAATACCGCATGCTTATGTTATTCCAATTCCAGTAGTGCCTTCTGAAAATATGCAAAGTGTAGTTTCTCAGCAGGGTAATAACTGCTCGAATGATATGTCCGAGAGCATCGATACGACGCACAACACGACGGTTGGAAACCCGACGCAGTACCAATTCGCTCCTATATTATCAGAGGGAACGAATATCCCGTCGACAACCGTCGGACCGTTACCCGCGCCCGCGCCCTTATCGATATCCGGCGCGACGGGCGCCTACATTCAGTACGAGGGCCAGCCGCTACCGAATTTTCAGACCTTCAGCTGCACACCCCACGGCGGCTTCTTTCTGCCAGCTGGCTATCGGCTGATATACACGCCGCCGACGACTCAATCTCAGCCGGCGACTCCCGCCACATCTCACGTGGCAAACTCTTCGCGTGACGATACGCCCCCGACGGCGGAGCTGCACTACTCGACCACCGCCGAAAATTCAACGGTTCCTCCTTCGCATTCGGATCAATAACGCAACATTTGGCTCACACGCTTCTATATTTTTCGGTCGATTTGCGTTCGTTCTTAGTTCAACGCTCTGCACGGTACTGTTTTATAGTGCAGAGTTTTGCATCGTTATCGTCACGAATGTAACCCGAATATATAATTTGCTGTGAAATGCGCGCGTCATTGCTAGACATTATTATAAAGGTGCGAAGACGAATCGAAAAAAAAGAAACAAAAGACCGTGGAATAGAACTATATAATGTTTTTTCGATGTACGACGCACTTGCGTATATTAAACAAGATATCAAATATTCTCGCTATCTGAGCGTGTGCATGATATTACTATGATATGTGCCTCGCAGCGGAAGTAAAACGGAAATAATGTGGGAAGATACTGCGAAGAAGCGATATATATATATATATATATATATATATATATATATATATATATATATATATATATATAAATTTTCCGAATGCAACGCAGGAACTTGAGATAGAGGCCTTTACATGTACTGTGCTTCGATGCGTTAAAAAGAAAAAAAAGAAGAAAAAAAAAGAAAATCTTCCTTCGCTGAGACCTCTAAGGGATTCTACTATATGCCCGAACTCCTTTAGTAGCACAGCTCACATTAGTACAGGCCTCCGCTAGTCTTACGATCGAAATGGTACATAGCCATTCTGCTCGGTATATATGTGTAACTGTTACTGTATGACTGTGTCGGAAAACCGAATGTGAAAAAGCGTGATAGGGGCAAGGGGCAAAAAGGAATGGGGAGAGAATGAAAACGAAGCGAGAGAAAGGGAGTATATGTAGCTTATGCGAGTATGTATGCGCGAACGCGTATGTATGCGTATATAATTGTGCGGGTATGTATGTGTGTGTTGGAGGTAAAAAAAATAGGCAGAGAGAAATATGATTAATATAGTCACTGTTATGCTTTAATGTATTTCTAGCGATTTTGCCTATTTCAATTAAAGAAAAAAAGTCATGTGTTACTAGTTAGCAAACCCATATATCTCGTTTACTATATTGATGATTATTATATCTTCTTTTAAAGCTGGTAGTAGCCGTTTTATCTACCGTTGTTTATTTTGATATATATATGATGTAATCAAGATAAATTGTCCGATGCCATCTGTAGACCATTGACAAATGCGTGTTGACAGTCCGACTATTACCCTTTTTAATCGATTTAAATGATGTATCACTGTCAACATACTGGAGCAACGTATTAAAAAATTTCTTTTTAGTTCTTGGGTAATCTGTGACACGTTATTTCAGGTAGCGAAACATTCAATTATAGTTTTAATTCGATTACAATGACTGCTGAATATATATATTATATACCTTACCAACAGATTCGTTATCGTTAGTTTTTTTAAATCGTTCGTGGATTTTTCCGTTTGCATTAATATCGTTTAATAATATCGAAAATTGTTCGTAATTATCGCATGATCTGCTCAATTGTTACTACAATCGTCAAAGAAAAATGTTTTAAATTATTCGTTTCGATTCGCGACTCTCGCGGCTATCCTGAACTCTTTTGGTGATTTTTGTGCTGAGATTAAAACCTCCTTTTAAGTATAAGGCTTTTATTTTTGGTGCTTTTATATATCACGATATTACATTAAAATCTATTGAAACGTTCCCACAAGAGTTGCAACAGTTTATTATATATTACATTTATATATTTACATAAACTTGAGATTAGATTTCTTTATACAATTATTATTTAAGACTAAGAAGATGATAAATATGTATTTTGATTTTAATCTGAAATTACAATGAAATCTTCGGTGACTTATTCATAAATGGCTATGTATTTTCTCTCTTTTCGAATATTAATACTGCATTACATGTGACAAACCTCAGTCGCGTAATTTGATATGAAAAGTAGTTGTTTATTATGTCAAACCCTGTTTACATCTAAGAAACGAGTAAGTAGTTAAACGAAGCTTTATTTGTGAAGAATGATGTTTCTTGACAAAATTCGCGGGTATTCTTTAGTCGCGAAAATATTTAAATTGTTACAGGATCTCTTATCCTCTTCTATTCTTCTCATTTAAACTCGCTTTTTAAAATAGGACATCTTATTCATTGGGTTTTTCTTCGGCAGCCAATGTGTGATTCGTTCCTAAGTCCAGTGCTTGAATTTTTCTACGAAGATCGAACGTCCACCGGGTCTTCTTCCGGCAATCAACGTACGGTTCGTTTCTACATTGCGTTAATAATTATTCTCTTTCTGGTATTAATATACATTTTATTATATGTATAAAATTAAGAGCTTACTTCCAGAAATGTATTGCCATGAAATGTGAGATTTCAAGCTGAGGATATGATAGTTACGTGATATTCCACAAACACAAAGAAACAGATTACAAAAGATACAATTTTGAATAATCGTAATTTAATATGAATTAAAACAATTTGAAGATATAATTCGACTATATATTTTTTTTCAAAGAATTTCAAGATCCCATGTTACAAAATAAAAACATCAATAAATTTATTTTAATTACAAAAAAAACTTACCGATACAATAAAACCAATTTTAATAATGTACTCTCTGTACCTCATACAATATTGTAAAACAGGCTGAAACTTTACTAACTTTATCAAAAGACGTTAAATGTAAAAATTATTACAATAAAGCTTAACAGACAGAAATAAATAAACGTACAATACAGATACAATATATCGTTTGTCTTTTCCAACTGCAATATCATTAAATTAATATTAGTATTAAAATAATAAAAATTCTATTTATTCATATTCTTTATTACAATATAGATATGTTATAGATATATATATTAGATATATTATGTACAAACTTAATGCATCATTATAATATGTTTCGTGAATATCATCAAAATTTTAAAAGTTGTCTCTTGTATATATTACAGAAAATCTCGAATTGCTCTTTTTAATTACCATCTTCCTTGATAGGACCTTTATACTGTAATATCCAGATTTCGTTCATACTGTAATTATAATAAGATAGTATATATTACTGTCAATAACAGAATATTTTTAAATATTATCTTACAAGTACTGTATAAATAAAAATAGACGAGAATATATTGTTATTAATTATAATAAATTAACACTATTAAAAAACGTATAAGATGGATCAAAATATTACAGATTTTAATATTACGTTTCAAAATATTACAGGTTGTTATTCCAAGAATTATTAAATAAAAATAAATAAATCAGGCGGGGATTTTCTTGCTACGATTCATTTTAATTAAATCACAATTGAGCCACAAAAACTTTCTTGGAAAAAATAACTTAAAAATTTCAAATATCCTATCTGTACCCTGAAAAACCTGGATATCAAACGTTATACTTACTATTGGATATGTTCAAAAACATTGCAAAGCATCACAAGGACTCGAAATGACTTCGCCTCCTTGCATAAGCACCCATGCAGGCGAAGAATCCGACAATTGCGATGGTTAATCCTATAATTAGTGCTAGAGTGTCACCGAAATCGAATGTATTATTGGAAGCCATCGCGACATCGAGAATGCCGAAAAGAATGAATACGAAATAGAACCACATCTTTCTTGCAGAAGATAATAAATATGCAGAAATATATATTTATTGCGAGATTTATAGCTCTTCAGTATTGTCTCTTGCAACTTGTTTATTGCACTTTGTCGTTCGTGTGCTGCGTATGATTATAATTTAATATAATTCTCCTGTCATATCAAGCAGGCTCGTCGTTAAATACGTCAAATAGTTGCGTGTTTGGACCAAGTTCGCAACCACCGATAAACGTTGGGTGACAATTCTGACAATTACGTCAAATTATTGAGCACTTTGTAAACACGAAAATGGCGGCCAGAGCATTAGCAACACATCGCAGTCGCATGCGTGATAATAGCCAATCAGCGTATCCAACGGGATAAAGGATTCATCGTCTATTGGTGCGTTTCTAGTAATTTACTAGATCGCGTGCATCTAGTTAGTACCGTTACCGTTTTTCTATGCAGTGCCACCCGTGCCACCATCCTAACCTCACGAACAGGAGCAGCCTCGAAGTTACCTTTTAATTCGGATGTAAACAGACGCGCGTCGAATAAACTTGTCTCCTGCTAAAAGATAAGCACGGTTGCGTGATTCGCGGCAGAATGGCCGGTTCGTCGGCGAACGTGACCGTGTCGAGCATCCTGAAGAACAAGAGCTCGTTCGACGATGAGCCGCGGAAGAAGAGCAGGGAGGACTGGCGAAAGGCGAAGGAGCTCGAGGAGGCGAGGAAGGCCGGCACGGCCCCCGCGGCCGTCGACGAGGAGGGTAAAGACATCAATCCGCACATCCCGCAGTACATAAGCGCGACACCGTGGTACTTCGGCGCCCAGGGCCCCACTCTGAAGCACCAGAGGCCGCAGCCCGAGAAGCAGAGGCAGTACAGCTCGATCGACGCGTGGTACAACCGCGGGGTGGACGCCTCGCAGACGGCCGTCAAGTATCGTAAGGGCGCCTGCGAGAATTGCGGCGCGATGACGCACAAGAGGAAGGACTGCATGGAGCGGCCGCGCAGGGTCGGCGCCAAGTTCACGAATTCGAAGATAGCGGCGGACGAGTTTAGCCAGCCCGATCTGTCGATGGACTACGACGGCAAGCGAGACAGGTGGGCCGGCTACGATCCCTCCGAGCATCGCGCGATCGTGGAGGAGTACCAGAAGATCGAGGAGGCCAAGCGGCAGATGCGCGCCGAGAAGCTCAACGCGGAGGAGGAGACCGACGAGCAGGATTCGGACAAGGACGAGGACAAGTATGTGGACGAGGTGGACATGCCCGGCACGAAGGTCGACTCCAAGCAGCGCATCACCGTGAGAAATCTGCGGATTCGCGAGGACACCGCCAAGTATCTGCGCAATCTGGATCCGAACTCGGCGTACTACGATCCGAAGACCCGATCGATGCGGGACAATCCTTACGCCGGCACGGATCGCGAGGTGGATTTCAAGGGTGAGAACTCGGCGCGTTTCTCGGGTGACACGCAGCAGCACGCTAACGCGCAGTTGTTCGCTTGGGACGCGCACGAGAAGGGAGTCGACGTGCACTTGTTGGCCGAGCCTACGAAACTGGAGCTGTTGAAGCAGGAATACGACAAGAAACGCGACGAGTTGAAGGACAAGGCGCGCGACAGCGTGATCGAGCGTTACGGTGGTGAGGAGCATCTCCAGGCGCCACCAAAGTCCCTGTTATTGGCGCAGACCGAGCACTACGTTGAATATTCGCGGTACGGTAACATAATTAAAGGGCAAGACAGGCAGGTGATACGATCCAAGTACGAGGAGGACGTTTATCCGAATAATCACACGACGATCTGGGGCTCCTACTGGCAGGATGGAAAATGGGGCTACAAGTGCTGTTATTCCTTTATCAAAAATTCGTATTGCACCGGTGAGTCGGGTAAGAGAGCGATGGAGGCGGTGAGCAACAGTATACCGGATAAAATCCCGTCTGAAGTAGAAGAAGTGAGCGATAAACCGGATACGGCGGATGATATTCATTCCACCAGCAGCGAGTCTGCATCCGAGGACGAGGATGCGAAAAACCGAACGGAAAAGCAGAGTAAAGCGGCGAAGCGAAAATTGAAGAAGCAGAAACGGAAGGAAAACCGCAAGAATAAAAAACGAAATGCGGAGCAAGATGAGGACAAGCTGAAGGAAGCGCTGAAAAAGGAGGAGAAAAGTGCGAGGCAAGCGGACAGGATATTGAAGCTGGACGAGAGGAAACGTCCGTACAACAGCATGTACGTGGATAAGGAATTGACAGCTGAAGAGATAGAGGCATATCAAATGAAACGCAAACGCGACGAGGACCCGATGGCCAACTTTCTTTCTTAAAAATAATATTCTCACAATGTAAAACTACATACATTGATGTACATATGTTTATATGTAAAGTTTGCGTTATTTATCTTTTATTAGTATTGGTCTATGAAAATATTAAAAGATAGCATTTTAATTATATTATAATTAATGATATTTTGGCAGAATAGCATATGCTTACAAGAAGATTTCTGATTATATAATTCATTATCCCTAATCTAATCTTTTCTTATCTAATCTTTTCTAATCGTTTCAGTCTTTCTCGAAAGGTTAATATTTCTAGTCAAAGTCTTCAAAATTGTAGGAAAAAATTTTAACTTGTATAAACTTCGTATTTCCGCGCCTAGGAAAAAAAGGTGCACGCTTAATTTCCTTTGAAGCCATGATATAATTAAGAGCATCACTGAATTGTAAAAATAAACTAAAAAGAAAACGATAAAAATTTATTTTAATTTTAATTTTTCTTGATTTTATTAATTTAAAACGAATGTAAAATTTTAATTTTTAACAATTTTTGAATTATTTTCTATTGTCTTTTTCAATTTTAATTCATTTAAACAGTTAAAACAATTTTATTTTTTACGAATTCTCACTTAACAAATCTCACATTGCTTCTTTGAAGTATAACTTGAGTCAATAAAATATTTAATTACATTGCACTTTATTCACCATTAAGAAAAATTTTCTTAATGGTAAATAAAGTGAATCTCACTCCAAAAAATTTAGAGAGTACCTAATTACTTTTATGAAGATTATATATAAAAATTCTAACTAATATCGAAATTTGAATGTTCAAAAGGTGAAACGAAAGGAAATTCAATGGCTTTTTAATTTACAAAATTTACAACTTTGAATATATGTAAAAAATAATTTTACATAGAACACATTTTTCTCAATTCTCCTTATTTTACAATCTTACTCTAAAATAAAAATATAAAATTGTACTAATATTAAAGAAGAGCTTCCTATGTAGCAATAAGCATATGCGACATGGGCAATCGCAACGCGTGGGCAATCGCAACGTGGCCAGTTGCAACGCGTGGGCACTCGAAAATAAGAAAGTTACATCCCTGGTGTGCTTACAAAAAAAATTCTAATTATATAATTCATTATCCCTAATCTTTTCTTTGTTTCAATCTTTCTCGAAAGATTAATAATTCTAGTCAAAGTCTAATTGAAAAATCGTAGGAAAAAAATGTCAGCTTATGTAAAACTTCGTATTTCCGCGGCTAGGAAAAAAAGTCGTAGCCCACGACTTCCTAGGAATGACGCTCAGAGGGCACTGCGGGCGCTGGAGTGTCCGAAATATATGCGGTAGCTCGGCGACTCCGGCTCTCCGGATAAATATCTAATCGATGGCCAAGGTAAGAGCGCTAGACTGCCATATTAGAAGCAGACCGTGACTTTAGACATCAAATGTCTTCTTTCCCTCAGGCTTTATTCCCACGATCTACGATATTATGTTTCGCCGTGTTGTATTTTCGTGTCGATGAAAAGTGTACGGCTCGTGGGTGTTTTGTACCCGGCACGTCGCTCCGTGCGTCTCGCGCGTCCGTCGTGCGTTGCTTTTAACTACTCCCGGGGGCTCCGAAAATGAAATTCCTTTCTTAATTTAACTAGGAAACCGCGTGTGGAACTTAATTGCGCTGTGCTGGTAGCGTGTCGCGTACCGCGCCGAGTGGAAGAGGCAGAAGAGGGAAAAGAAAAGGAGTAATGTTTTTTGCTCGGAGGTTACGAGACTGGCAATGATTTGACGCTGAAGATGGCATAAATCTCTGTGCTGCGCGTATTTCTATAGAAAGGTGGAAGAGAGGGAAAACAAAAGAGAGAGAGACACGGGAGAAAGAGTGAGAGAAAGAGAGGAAGAGAGAGAAAGGAAGAGATGTGTCGGCGGATAAATTACTACAATTTGCTTAATAGCTAATAGACTCAAAATTACTGGTATGCTTTTACGATTCGTTCACCATGTCCGTATATACGACGATACTGCCTCTCATCTTCCTGGGATTATTAGGTAACGTGTATATATATATAGATTATATATATATATTTTTATATTTATATATGTGTGTATATAGAATTATTACATACATATATCTTTTCTAATAAAAAGCGTTACAACTGCTATTTTTGGACATTAGATTTAAATTTATTGTCTCGTTTTCTTCTACTTCTTCCAATATAGACCAATGTATCGTTTGAAATTCTTTTTTTTTCTTCAAATTCTTACTCTTCGAAGATTTGAAAGCTTTATCAGAGAAATAAGATGGGGAGAGCGATGAGAGAGAGTTTTAGGATACTTTGACTAAATTCTAACTAACTTCATCATTGCTTAATTCAACAAACAGTATTGCTTACTGAAAACTTACTTGTTAACTATATAATTCCTTATTGCTAATCTAAACTTTTTTTTCATGTATTAAACAACAAAATATTAATTCTATTCCTATTAACAAAATAATATTGTTTGACAAGTTAAAAATTGATTATAATTTGTTATACACTTGGCTTTCATTCTTCAATTCTCTTTATGAATTAAATTAGAAACTTATTCAGCAATTTGTTTCTACATTCAGTTACATCACTTTTGCTTTATAAATTGTAAGACGGATGAATAATAGAAAACAGTTTGCAAACAATTACAGTGGTAGTTAGCGATTTTTTTCTGACTACACTCACAATCAGTTACACAGTGACCAAGTCCTATGTACTAAACTTTGTGCGAGTTTGGTACATAGGCTAATCGTAGCAGATGCTATAGCAGCTTTACACACTTATATCTTATAAGCGTTAAGTTGTAGATATATGAAAAGAGACAAACTTTAATCTCGTCTACTTTTTTTGATTGACTTTTTTTTAAGAAAATATTACAATATGTATCTTCTCTCTAATTATAAACCACATATTTATATATACATAACAATTATTAGAAACAATAGAAACATGTCTTGTTAAAATAAGTTAAATGAAAGGAATAAATTACATGATAAAAAAAATGCCTGCAATATAAAGCACTCAATGCTTTGCAGATAAATGAAAAAATTAATAATTTAATTTAATGTTAAATATTAATGTCAAATACAAAGGTCATAAAAAAATTTGATCAATTATTTTAGGATCTGTATCTGCAAAAGATATTAAGGGCTCAGTCTTTTGCGAATTTTACAATGACACATTGTGTGCGGAAAACGAAGAAGAGTGTTTAAGAACAGAAGAATGTGTTCAGTTGGATGTAGACAAGCCTAATCATTGTTACGTGCTATGGGGAGTGAACGCTACTACTCAAGAAACAATAATTAAATTAAAGGTTGGTTATTTATCTGATTAATAGTATTTATCACATACAGTTTAATGTACAAGTTTATTATATGCACAAGTAATTAAAGTGCAGCAGATTTTAGAACAGAAAAAAGAATAAAATTAAAACATATTAGAAGTATTGAGAAATTTTGTATTTTTTAAAAAATTATTTTGTAATATCAATCAACTTTTTTTTACAACTTGATATTCTTTGCCAACAAATCTTAGGATTTTGCTCTGAAAGTAGGTTACAATTTTTCGTAAATTGTTTCATATTGCTTATTTTTACCGAAAAATTGATAATTATAGATTTTATTGTCGTTACTGAATATATTTTCTATACATTGTTTTCAGGGTTGCTTCTTAGATAATCATGATTGTCATGATAAACCGCTTTGTCTGGGGACTAGAAGACCAAATGGCTTGTTTTTTTGTTGTTGCGATACAGATATGTGTAACCAAAACTTTACTTTGGATCCACAAATATCCATTGAGCCTACAGAACCATCTGTTATTCATGGTATCTTATTCAATTATGGAGTATTTTTACTTAAAAACTAAATTTGTCATTTGCAATATTTGTAATACTTAAGTCATTACCTTTTCAGAACGTGAACCTGTGCCCGATACAAAGCAGCAAGCAGTAACACTTGCCCTCTTAATAGCAATTCCTATGCTTCTCACGATTAGTTCATTTTCTTTTTGGTGGCTCTACCGTCGTCGAAAATTGGGCTATTTCAACGAGGTATGTATTTCGAGATTATTGTAAGGTTATAAAATGTATTGTTAAATTTATGAAATGAATGTAAATGTTTTTCAGGTACCGACGTTGGAACCTGTACCATTGCCACAACCCTCACCTAATCTAGGCTTACGACCTATACAACTTCTTGAGATTAAAGCTCGAGGTCGTTTCGGAGCAGTTTGGAAAGCCCAGTTCAAAAATGAGATCGTGGCAGTAAAAGTTTTTCCCATTCAGGATAAGCAATCTTGGCAGACTGAACAAGAGATCTTTAAGCTTGCACATATGGATCACGAGGACATATTACACTTTATAGGCGTTGAAAAGCGTGGAGATAATTTACAAGCTGAATTTTGGTTAATCACGGCGTATCACGAAAAAGGTTCACTGTGCGATTACCTAAAGGCAAATATTGTAACATGGCCTGAGATGTGTAGAATTGCCGAATCTATGGCAAGGTAACAATAATAATAATAGTAATACGAATTTTATTAGTAGTGAGACAAAATTACACATCAGTTGTACAGACGGGGACACTAATGCTTTAACACTCGAAGTTGCACGCATGTCGAGTGTGTTCCGATCAGAAACACGTCTTCAGAGCGCGTTCCAATGAGAAACACATTCTTCTCTCATCGCGTATCTTCAAATGTTAAGGCATTTGTGTCTCCGTCTGTACAACACTTTTATACTGAGTTTTATCCAATACTGAATTTTCATCTAGTTATTAATAAAAGAATTCTTGTTATCAGAGGTTTAATGCATCTACATGAGGAAATCCCAGCTAACAAAGCAGATGGCTATAAACCAGCTGTAGCTCATAGAGATTTTAAGTCAAAAAACGTTTTATTAAAGGCTGACATGAGTGCCTGCATAGCAGATTTTGGCTTGGCACTTATTTTTCATCCAGGAAAACCTTGCGGCGATACACACGGACAGGTAATGCATATATCATCATGATTGCGTTGATATGAAATTAACTGTAATAATTTGTTATTTATAGGTTGGAACGCGAAGATATATGGCACCAGAAGTTTTAGAAGGAGCAATAAATTTCACTAGAGACTCATTTCTACGAATTGACATGTATGCCTGTGGGTTAGTTCTCTGGGAATTAGCTTCAAGATGTACTGTACAAAATGTACGTAATACATTTAATATTATGCGCAATGGCAGTGTCTTACAGAGAACATGCATTTTTGCTAAAATTGCGAGCTCCTCAAGACTAGAACTATAAATATGATTTGGATATGTGGATATTGAGGAAAGGATTAGCTAGATATCCGATATCTAATTTCCCAAGTTATATCTGATCCCTCCATCCGGACATCGATATTACCCAGATAATCCATATTTTAATAAAAATCGAAAAATTGAATTTATCCAAATCTGAGAATTTTTTAAAATCTGAACTATCTGTTATAAGAAATTGGAAAAAAAAATCTGAAACATACCAACCTATAATATGCCAAAATTTACTTTGAAGAATGATAATAAAAAAATGTGATTATACGTGAAATTATGACGAAATAAAAACTGGGTATTATCGTAAATTTAAAATATAGTCACGCACAGTAGAAAAACCATTAAAAATCTTGCAAGTTAGTCGCATGTCGAAAGGTGTTAATTGTTTTTATCTTAATAGGGACCAATAGGAGAATATCGACTACCATTTGAGGATGAGGTCGGTCTCCATCCTACTTTAGAGGACATGCAAGAAAGCGTTGTCCATAAAAAAGAGAGACCGCTCATTTTAGAAACTTGGCGTAAACATCCAGTAAGTAAAAAAAATATCTATTTTAATTTTGTTCACGACGGAATTATTATACTTAAAAAATGAACAAAGAATCACATATATAGTATTCTATCCTAAAAAATTCTCTTCTACATAAAAATTGTTAATAATGGAAAGTACTCTTTTGCTTACGAAGAATAATGTTTTTCAATCTTACAAAAAAAAGTTGAAAAACCGAATATATAGCTTTTTAATGTCTATAATTGAAATATGTTATTTCAGGGACTATCATCAATTTGTGATACAATGGAAGAATGTTGGGATCACGATGCTGAAGCACGCCTTTCTGCCTCGTGCGTAGTGGAACGAGTTGCTACTCTTGGTAGAGCTCTTGTATTAAATTCATCTACTTTGATTCGTGTTGATAATACCAACGAGATTATTACTACCAAGGAATCTAGTATGTAGTTAGTGTCTATTAATATAGTTTATTTTAATGGCACAACCATTTTTTGTATCATAATTTTGTTATACGTATCAATGAGGAATGTTGAAACAATAGAAAAAAAAGACAAGCATATATCTCCGATTTTATGTTTTACTATTTGAATAATTATCAATTTCTCCTCTATATAATGCTATACAAGCGATCGTTAGTTACATCACAACATTCATCCTAATAAGAGTACGTCAACTACTACATTTTATCTTTCCCAGTGCCTTTTCCGTGCATTGGAGACAGATTCATTAACGAGTTAAAAAAAATTTGTGAAATTGAAGCAATTTTTCTAAATGTTTAGAAAATATTATGAAGTAAAATGACGGGTAAAAAATATTACAAGTAATTGCAAGGTGAATAAGAAAAATTAAAAAAAAAAAGGTAAAATTATACAATTATCTGTCTGCTAAATTATATCACGATATTACATTTGGTGCACGTAGATCTCTCTGTTCAAAAAATGTAAATAAAAAGAGCGATGTATCTCAATTTTTATCAATCCTTGCAATAACTTGCAAACGTCATGCAAGAATGTAAGGCGACACTGCTTCCATTTAGCTAAGAATTCGTGAATTACATGTTTAGAACATTTTACGAAGATTTGATATTGGATCGTTCGCAGCGAATTCCAAAGTAATCATGTAGAAAATCAGCGTCGAGCCTGTGACTACCCACACAGTAAGAAAGAGAGAAAGATCTGCGGGATTTCGTCAACATATCTTGCGGGGAAATCATAGCATTATATTGAGAGCAAGCGAAAGGGTAAAAAAGGGAGGGAGGAAGATATATCTGGAGCATACTTTTTAAATATAATACAATGTAATCACACTGCCATATGTATATATATTCTAGCCGTGTATATATATTTTTAACTAGCGCCTAAAGTACTCTTAGACTGTGTCTTTATGCGGATTATCTTTATAATTTTTATATATTTTTATTAAAATTTTCTGAATATTCAATATTAGAGCATCTCAGAGATATACTTATTATAATGAACTAGGAATATATTGTAAGAAAATTGCGCAATATGTTTGGGATATCCAGGATGATTTCAGTATATCTCGCAGATTTTCATTGCTGTATGGGTAGATGGCTTCATCCAAATCCAGATATGGATTTCTCGAAAAGGGCAAATTCTTTCATGATAAACACATCTGATTAAATATTACTCGATTCGAAGCTGATTATTTAAAATTTTATAAAAATTCTTTATTATCTTAAAATTAGAATAATTTTGAATATTCAGAAGAAGAAAAAAGAATTAATATGATTTTCATTAATTTTTTTCAATCTGGAAAATAAAATCTTTAATATTTTAACTCGTCGATATTTTAGAAAGTATGAATATTTTTTATGGTAAAAACTATAATATGTGTGAAAGACTGAAGTTTCATCATGAAAAAAAAAAAACAAGAAAGATGCTTTATAATCATTTAATACGTGAAAAACTTTACTTTTCGATCGTTTCTGTTTTTTTCTTCGAGCTTTATTAGTTTATTAAAATATTAATGAAAATTATAACTTCTAAACTTTTCTGCAAGAATCTATTCGCGTAACATTATAAGATTTTAGGCTTTTCAACCAAAGTCCGATTAATTTAATCGATGATTAACTTGTTAAGAAATACCTGTAGTATTTTGTTAACGTAGATAGAAGATTATTAATAAGATGGAATTATTAGTTTTTTATTGACACAGGAAGAAAGAAAAATAAAAAATCTGAGCAATTGTGCCGGTTGAACTAATTACCGATTATGTAAATTGGAATTTGCTCGAAGCTCTTACTGTGGTAATCAGCTTCTATATTTCCACTCGTTTTATACTTTAAAACAAGTTTCAACCGAATTTGCATATTGAGATCCTCTCTTGTTGATCGCAAAAATTATTTGAAATATTATAAGTGAGATGATTCTAAAATGAAACTTTTTTCATACTTCGACAACGTTCGGCACTGTTGATTAAATAAGCGCGTAACGAGATAAAGAAATGACAGCGGTACAATATAAAAGAAGTATGTAAAATTGTGAACAGTAAGTGTAAAATTTATACGATTTGAAAATAATCGATTTGATCACATACATATGATGTATAATTTTTATATATGTTTATTTTTACTCGTTCATGTAATTTTACATACTTTTCTTTTACAGAGTAGAGAGGGCATACATTACTTGGATACATTATGCTCATTTTGGACTGCCCTTATTCTTCGGAATAAAGGGCGTATTGATATTATTTTGAAAACAGTTTTTTATACCTTGTACATCTATATGAATTTTATCGATTTATTGTAATAAATTTTAAGTAAATTTTATAAATCCGATTAAAAATACACTGTAATATTATATGTAATATTTCCGTAGACGAGACTGCGTCGTTCTGCTCGAAAACAGGAGAGGAGTATTACGCTCGAGAACAGGGAAGGAATACGGAGCGTTTATTTTCATCCGTACATGTTCTATCAACGTTCTTCGGACCAATAGATTCTTATTTGACAAATGACTATCTCTAAATGTTCGAGGAATAGTTACTGACACTTAAACGCGCACAATGTAGATGCATACGTATATGTGCCACACTGACATTCCTCATTGATTGTTGGAATCATGCAGTAACTATCCCAGTCGCAAAGTATGCCAAATAAAATTCAGCGAAGCATTTTTCCTGTAAAGCCACATCACGTATATCATTATAAAATGGATGATGTAATCTTATTACTGGAAACTGGAACGTTAGCGTTACTTATGCCCGAGACGAAGACCGAGGAAGTGATTGTTGAGTAATATAAATACAATAGAAAGTGCTTTAAATGTGATTGATTTTTCGAAATTTAACGACGCATCGATTGGAAATAGTGATGGTGCTTAACTGAAATGTGGTAAATGATGTGTAGCCGATGTTTACTGGTTACTTCTCAGGCATAAACAATGGTAATGTCTGGATCCTGTTTATTACAAAGTACCTGGTAGATACAATCGAATTAATAGATTGAAATTTAAGATTTTTTTTGCACGAGAGAGAAAATGTGAACATCTTAATTAATTTAAATTTTATAAAGTGCTGTATTATTAAGTGTAATATTTACTTTACAAAGTAGTACACTAATCGTAAAATTTTGCGTGGCTCTAATATATTTTTCACCTTACTTATATCCTTACTAATAATATATATTTCATTTTATCAAAGCGATCAGCTTAATGTTATATTTAATATAAATATCGACTGTCGAATGCGTTTTGTTTATGAGTAGAAATAATTAATACATATGTAATGTAATGCGACATAACTAAGATAATGTAGAATGTAAATTATTCATATTTACTAGCGGCACGTATGCCGCAATTTATCGAAAGGAGCAATGAAATAAGTGTGTTTTTATTCTAGAACCCAAAACAATTTCAATATATAAATCTACTAAAAAACACTGAAACACTATTGTAGTCTTGTTTTACTGCTCTTATATGAATACGTTTATTATATATTGATAAAAAAAAATATATAAGTAATCGCATTAAATCAATGTTTTTATATATTTATTCGAAACTATACAGAACATCTAGATAATTTGCTAGTCGATATTGAGTAATCTTGGAATCGTAGGATTTCCAATCTTCAAATCGGAAAAATGTCTGTGTTAGATATTATATGGTGCTATAAAACCCATTATCTCTTACTTCCCACTTCAAATATTTGGGATTTAATACTGTAAGCAATCATTATCATTTGTTGGTGATTGTTTGAACTGCAGCTAGCAATTTGCTTAATAATCCTAATAAATTCGAGATAGCAAAACTCCCTTTTTATTCTCGATCCTATTATTTTATTCGAATACTTTCCATCTTGTTAATCAATATTTCGAAGTTTTTTCGAATTAGAAAAAAATAATAAAAAATTGGTTGCTGCGCAATTTTTAATGATTGTAAAATTATAATCTTTAAGATAACACTTTCTATATAATTCGTAATTATCTAAAGAACAAGATTTTTGTATAACGATGAAATATCTTATCCGACGGCATTATTCGTGTATGAGATACATATTTACGAAGCCAGTGAAACTAATTTTGATCTTTACTCAGATCGTTTTCAGCCAACAGTCAAACTGCATGTTTATGTGTGATTAATTAATTAATTTGTATGGAATACAAACGGCAAATTAATAATTGGAGCGGGTTAATATAGACGATGGCAATATAGTCGTACAAAATTTTAAGGTACTTTTCAAATGCTTGTTTGATTTAATCGATCCTTCTCATCTAACGTTGACGTTTCAATAATTAATTCTTCGAGTGATTCTATAATGGCAATAGCTTCGAAATAGATGAAAATATGGGTTTCAACTTTTATTAATTGCGATTAGCGTTTATATTATTAAATAAATTACGTACAAGAAGCTTACGAGAAGCATATTTGTTTTAGGGGACGACATTCAAATTGTACAAAAGTTTTAAAGAAGATCGAAAATCCATTGAGAGAAGACGACATATAAAATAAGCGTTACTTTATTACGCAGAATAAAAAAGAATACGTTGGCTGTAAGATTGACAAATTATGTGACCCGAATAATCGATAATAAAATATAGAATATTGACAAAGAAGTTATTTGACAAATTGTGAAGAAAAATATAAGAAAGAGAAAGAAAGATGCACGAGATTTGTCCGCGTCTTATCGTGCATGAAACTTGTTTCCAGCTTTTTGGCACAGAAACAAATCCCAGTGTGGCAACATCCAGTTCATTGACTGGATTTGACGTCGGTCGATTGCTTCCTCTTTCTCAAAATCAAATTATGCTCGAAAGAGAAGCGTTTTGAGGATATTGAAGTCATTCGTACTGGTACAACCAACAAAATTGAAGAGATTTTCGAAGAGAGTTCCAAGACGCCTTATCTATTTCCCAAGCATTTTACCAACGTTCATTTTTTGTGAAACACGAAAATCGTGGTAATTATGAAACATAAAAATGAATATTTTTTTTTATTTTTTAATTAAAAAATGATTCGCGCAAAAATTTTACAGCTATATACTATACAGGATGTTTCTAAACTTTGAACTTTTTGGTGGTATTATAAAGGAGATAATTTTTTATAAAAAAATAAACCGAAAATATAAAAATTTTTTCGTATAAAACTTTGTTTTCGAGAGAAATAGCTTTAAAAATTGAAAATTTAATTGCATTATTTTTAAATATCATTTTTTAACTATAACTTGTTTTACAATTCTGTGTTATTTATTGTTGATTTTGTTTTAATAACGACTATTAATATATAAATAAATATAAAACATTTTAATATAAAATAAAATAATTTAAAAAATCAAAAAAGTTACGTAACACAAGATAAAATATTCTTTTCGTATTTTTACGAATTATTATACTTACAATTAGTTGCTGATGAGATGGATTTATTAATGGTATAAAATTCTTAGAAGTTATTCTAATTAAAACGAAAACGTGGATATATTATTAGTTTTTTAATCTTGAAAATTATTTTTTAAAAAGTACGAAAATATTTTATTCTATATTTTAGATTTATATTTCACGGTGAATCAGTCGTTCCCCGGAGATGCTCCGTATATGTATGCTATCAGCATCGGTGTTCACGGCAAAGCAACTATTATAGATGTACAGAATGCGAGGAAATTATACAATTTCCGGTCACACTGGAAGGGTTTCAACCTTCTTTGTTTTGCATCTGGTGCATTTGCAGTAAGCAAACGTGCGCTTGACGTTCGTCAAGTCATCCGCTGGTGTATAAGCAGTTTAAAATCTAATGCGATCTAGTCAGTCGACAAATAACACGCTTTGATCTGGAGGGATGTTTCGAAATTGGCAGACAAGATAAAGCCCACGTTTGCGCAATAAAAATAAAGAAGTTAAAACGATTGCTGATGTTTTGGACCAATAATATCGCACTAATATATGTAAAGCATCTTCGAGAGATGGTCTGGTTTAATTAAATTATACACGAGGACATATATTTATAACTTTAGATACATGTATATATACATATGGAGAGGAGAGGAGAAGAGAGGAGAGGAGAGGAGAGGAGAGGAGAGGAGAGGAGAGAGAGAGAGAGAAGATTGAAGGATACGAAGATGAGAAGAGAGGCGTGGCGGTGGGCGGCAAGGGAGAGACTGAACGGAAGGTGTTAGAGTGACGGCGAGGGGAAAAAGGTGAAAGAGGGTGGCGAGAGGAAGAGAAGGGTACAGAGGGCGTATATATCCGAGAGAAAGAGGGATATATGGAGGCCAAAAATGATCGGGATTTTAGGGGAGTAGAAGCGGCGCGTTTACGCTCTGCACTCTCCGCCTTCTTCCCTGTTCGCATCATCGGCTCTCTCTTCCATCCCTAATCCTTGCCACCGCGACGATCGTGGCGGCGGTGGTGATAGTGGCGGTGGTGGCGGCGGCGGCGGCGGCGGCGGTAGTGGTGGCAGTCGTGGTGGTGGTATGTCTTACCGCAACCTCGCCTCTATCTCCGCTCATCCTTGTCCCTCCGCCGATGAGGCGACCAATCCCCACTCCGCACCCCTCTCTTAACGGGCTCTTCTCATACCACCCTCGGCGGATCGATGGTGATATTGGTGATTCCGGCGCCCCCCGTTGCGCGGCGCTAACGTCGCCTAAGCGCCGCTCAGTCCGAACTCAGGGTTCACTCAGTCCACGAACGTTTGCCACGAGACTTCGATCTCTCACACCGCATCGCACACGCTATCTCTGTCTCTCTTTCTCTCTCTCTATTCACCCGCCTCGTATCTCTCTCTCTCTCTCTCTCTCTCTCGCTCTCTTTCTCTCTCCGCTTTTTCCTTTTTTCCCGCTTGGCGGACGGAGAGCCAAGCTGGTGACCGGGGAGGCGCGCGTAGTAACCGTGCATCGGTCTACGTCAACGGAAGTCTTGCCGTAGTATCCTCGTGCTTTCGGTTACTTCGACCCATATAATCGTCGTGCTGCGACCCCCGTTCGTCCGCTTCGACCGGCTGCGGATCTACCTGCGGCGCAGCGAGGTGAGTGGGCGACCTATCGCACGTCTACCTTTGCGTCAGTTTCTACTAGCGAACGTGAATCTCAATTCACCTGCCAAATTCCCGCAAATTTTCAGACGCGCCTCTGGCAAGTTGTGCTTTCGATCAAAGTTATGCGAAAGTTTCGAATATTCTGCGTGACAGGTTCGCTTCCTCAATTTTCATTCCCTTCACGCTTGAAAATTCTCTATCTCACAAAAGTAACTAAAACTCCGAGATCTCCATGTTGCACTTTATTAAAAAAGTTATAACTTTTCAATATATTTGAAAATCAAAATTGCTCCGTATGCTCTGAAATTGCCAAGGCTCGCGCGAATTTATTATTCGGATTTATCCAGATTTTCGCACGTACATACATTTAAACGTAAGTTTAAGTTCTTTTAAAAACATGTAGACTCAAGAGAATTCTCAATTAAACATGCATAGCTTTCGACAAAAGTATTAGACTAAAGAATTTTATAATTATATGCACAGATTTTAAACAACTTTGAAGATAAAAATTTAGTTTAGGGAACCTACATTGCGAGTTACGTTGCGGATTATGTTAAGCTTTTAACTTTGAATAGCGAGAGAATGTTAAATGTACGTCGATTAATATAGACATAACATTATTATTCTCGTAATGTTATAATACGGAAGTAATGCAGCGAGATAGAGCTTTAAAGAACTCTTTGTAAGAAGATTTTATCTTTTTAACTGTATTAAACCATATGAAACTGAATCAGGTCTAGTCCATAAAAGATCATCTCAGGCTTTGAAAAACTAAGTTATGCGTTATATTTTTTTATGTTATTATTTTTTATATATGCCGCTCGATGAGAGCCGGTTTATCTGACTTTTGGTGACGATGAGAAAATATTGTAATATTTATATTCACAGTTGACAACATTAATCTGTATAATTTGCAAGTCTACTAATAATTTATTTTTGCAAGAAAATGGTAATGAACAATACATTGACTATTATTATTTCAAATAATAATAAATTAAAAACTTACGATTATTGTAAAGTCTTTGAAATATTTAGAACATTGACTGATTTGTTTTTATAGCACGTAAAATTTTTTTACATCGACAATATGAATGAGATTTATTCTATTGTATTTTTATTAAGTTTCATTGAATCTTCGTTGAATATCAGTTCTGTAATGAAACCGGCTTATAAAAAAATTTTAATTTACTGAAATTCTTGTTTCTGGTTTGCACCTCATAAGGTGCTGTCATCTATTGGCAGGGAAGTTTACTTAAATAAATATCCGCTAATATATCCGACATAAATCCTATTTGAATTGATTGTGCAGAACTGATTATTCACTATTTTGAGGGGAAAAGAGGAGAAACTTTTATACAGAAATATAATATATTTTTTTCAAAAACTGTCAAATGGGAAACATTTTGATATCTCAAATCATTTTATCTCTTACCGATATGAATAGAAAATTTTTTATAAAATAAAAAATTAAAGTGAGATGATATTATAACTTATGTATTTTTAAAAGTATGATCAATTACGAATTTATTATTTACATCTTCAAGTATTTGAAAATCTTCAGATATTTCTAAACTCAATCGAAAGAACATACTGCATAAATTTTTAAATGCCATCACAAAAAATCACAAGAATATCTTCAAAAAATGACATTTTTTGATAAAAAAAAATTCTGGTTGGCGATTTCCTATGATGTTCCTCCTAGGACAGCTTATCCTATGCTGAATTATATTATAGATGACTGCAGCTTATGTTGCTAACATACAAATGCTCGAAGCCATGGTTGGGCGAAAGAGGCATCATGTAGATATACGTAAACATAGCGGCTTTGTGCGCCGGTAAGAACGCGCCGCAAAGTCCCCGACGAAAATTCGCTCCCGCGAGGATTCTGCTCATCGCAGAATCCCTCGTCGGCGAAACTTTATTCACTAACCGAATAACTGCTGCGACCAGACGCGATCAATAGCGCGAAACCGTTTTTGGTAAACAGCGAAAAATTCGTATTTCTGCATTGAGAGAAAGATTGACGGTGCCTCGCCGGAGAATGGAAAACCGGCTTTTTAGCTTCCTTACATACAAGATCCGCTCAAGTGAGATCTTGATGCGCTTGTTGTATGCAGAACAACGTATTGAAAATACGAAAACGCTCGCTCATTTCTCGCAGGCACATATTTTCTTTAATCGACCTGAAATATATATTTTCTTAATGAAAATGCGCCGAAAACGCTAAACTCGCGAGATATCAGTCACAAAGTGATTAGAGCAACTATTTCTATATTTTGTACTGATAAATGAAACTTTATCATACGCGGTACGTCTGACTTTGTAAAAATTACCGTGCTTTACATTTTGCCGCGAGAATGTGAAATGCTACGAAGAGGAACTCGCAGATGCATTGTTCTGCACGTAAAGTACGTAGGAGTGCATGTTGATGAGTGTATGCGATGGCAAGTGAATCTCGCAGTCGCGGTTCACTCGTAGACTGCTAAATTACCACTCGGGTTAATCTACGTATGAACTGATTGCGTACTCTTGACGTGCACTATGGAGAGATAGAACATTCCATAAAGACGCGCGCATCCGCTTATTTGTATCTTCGAAGAAAAGTATAAACGACAGTGTCTCGCCGAAGAATTAAAAAAAAAAAAAATGACAGAAATGTAAAGCGCGCGAAATGTAGAAAGGACTTCTTTGTATTCGTAAGAATGAGCATGCGTTTAATTTTTGTTTCGCACGGAACGCTCGGTTACGTAACTCTACAAAGAGCAGAATTTATGAAAAAAATCTAGTTTTGCTGAAACGTTTATTTTAAAAGGTTGCGGTTTGTGGATTTTCTAAGCTACAACGTTCAAGCTACCGTTTGAACAAACCACGATTTTCTCTTAAAAGGGTGACTTGTTATTTTGTGCAACGCGAAAACTGCTTTAAAAAGCAGAATTGTTAACAGTTATGATATTGAACAAAAAGTACTTCTTACAATTTCCAAGCTTATCGGAGATTTTTTTTAAACCTATCGGCTTATCGATTTACCGGGTATTTATAGGCCTGTATTATAAGAGACATTAAAATTTAAATATTTCCAGCACATGACACTCTGCATGTGAGAGACAAGGGCTTATATTAAATACATAATTTATTTCTAAACTTATTCCACTATCGTTTCCCGTCCCAGATTTTTTTTTGCAACGAAGAGAAATGTCTCGCGTGAATCCTTGGATCGCGCAGGTCCTCCTGAACTGTCATCCTACTGGCCGCTTTCAAGCTATTTCTCCGTTTTTGCACATTAAGGGCCATAACGTGCGAGAAAGAGAGAAATGGAGACGGCGGAGATGGAAGAAGATTATGTCCACACGATTCATTCGGCCATGTGATTTATTACAGCTATGTGTTTTTTTTCTCGCGCGATCAATCCTAATCTCGTAATCAATCAGCAATTCGGGGAAGTCACGGGGTTCGTGGCGTGAGTTGATATTGCGATAGTCGAGAAGTCGATCTTCCGAGAGAAACTGAAACGAGCGGCAAGTCGCCTTGCCTCCTCCGCGCCATATATGTTGCAGAATTCTCTACCCCTCCTGTATTCCCTGAGGTATTTTATCTCATTGCTTCGTATACGCATCGGTGTGCCGAGCGAAATTGGACCAAGAGAATGAGAGGCAACCCTTTCGTGCCAGAATTCACAAAAACCCTCTCGGTACGTCTCTCGAGAATTAGACCCTCTTTCGTCCAATAATGACTCTATTAATTGCAACATGTAAAAGTTTCTGCGCGTACGAAACTTCTCCGAGGAACTTCAAACATCGATATCGATATCTCTAGCAGTGAGCACTACTTTAATAACATCAAGGGATATCAATTGTGATATACTATGTATGGACTTTTATATCAAATACATTTTGACTGCACATAGAAACCTGGGATGCAAAGGCATTCCAGAAAAGATTGAAATAATTACATGCGATTACATATAGAGATAAGAAGAATCTTGTATATTAAAGTTGTTTTTTATATCTTGTAATTATAATGAATATATATCACAATTATAATATATAAATTTTGTTACGATTAGTAGTAGCATAATTAATAAGTAGTATAATTAACATTTGATATCTCTATTGCAAAATCATGATCATTATGGTTGTGTAACACGTACGTTTATTCGCAAGGTTATAATTTCACAAAGAGTAATGATACTCGGATAAATCCCACGTGTCGCGCTAAATAGGCTATTAACGATAAATGGATATATCCTTTAGACAGCGCGCCATTTTAATGGAATCGTGCGACGTTAATTAATATTCTACTCCTGCTAAAATCTGCTCCTCCGAAGGCTGCTCGCGTACCTATCAGCAAATTGTATTTTAGCGTCTATTAGCGATGCCCTGCAACGTCGTACGGCCAACTCGACACTAGTATCCGTATTAATACGACGGAAAGAGAGACGAGTGTATGCGAAAAGTAACAAAGGATCGCTGGCGTGCAGAAAATGTAGTTACCAACTACAGGAAGAGCGATAATGCTCCCGTATCGCAGTAAATTAAGTACGGCGTGTCCATAAAACTGATATACTTCCGTACAGGATTAACTCGGGGAGCATTGCAAAAAGGGAGAATCATTACGAAGAAAATTAGAGAATTTATTACGGAAGAAGAAAGTAATATTTAATTTAAATCGAATTAATTTTCTACGTGCTAGGGAATTGTATGTAATAATTTAGATCTTCCTCTCTATCCTTCACCTTCTCAGAATTACAAGCTTGGAAGGGAAGGTGTCCTGTGATTGGCCACTTAACACTATAATGTTATTGAAATCCATTTCTTATTTCAATCGTAAGCTTTTCTCTTATTAATCTATTGTGCGATGTCCATTCTTCGATTACTGCATAGTAGGACGAGGATGTGTTTGTACAGGAGAGAATTTCAAAACCGATCTAGTCTCCCCCGACACTGGCAGGTTCAACACAGCGAATAGTACATTGGAAAATTGTATAGCGAAGA